AATTTCATCTCTCAAACTAATCAAGTTATATCATTCTAATTTGAATGTTGGAGAATTTTTGGAATGACAAAAACAAATTTGTCTTCCTGGCCATCCCGGCTATGCTTTTGTTTTAATTAGAAAAGTGTTTTCGCACTGAAAACCTAAGAAATATATGTGAAGGTTAGTTAGGTTCGTTCCTGGTTTACAAAAAAAAAAAAAAAAAAAAAAAAAAAAAAAAAAAAAAGGTTAGGTTCGTTCCTCAGTAATTATATACCACCTAGTCGCGTTCTATAGTAATCCAGCATCCACGACGTTTTCCAATGAGCAAATTCCTTCAAAATTAAATTCATCTGTGAATTTAACTATCTGATAAGATCAGAATCAACTTCCTGTGTAAAATCTCTTTTGTATGGTTGTCAAGAAAATATAAAAAAGGTAATCTTTGGAACGTTATCGGTTTAAACAAACATCGTCATCTTTGTGAACGAGAGATTGTGAAGGAATCTTTAAAGGAAGTGTTTGCAAAAGTTGACACGTAGAGAATTTGGATAATTCATCTATTTTGTCTACGTTATTTGTTGCAAAGTACTTGGAATATTTAGTTCTCGAAAATGATTTATAAGAATTAGAGTTCGTACTATTGTTTGTCTCTCTGTGTCACGGACGGGCGGCTCTCGTGAGACTTTATAGTTTTTTTTTTTTGGTGAGTGACTTTATAGTTTATATAACGGACAAAAATCACTATATGGTCTTAATTAATACTGTATAAGCATGAGAATTATCATTGATGAATTGCCACATTGATATTCAAACATGTTGTTGCCATCGGGTATTGTCAACTTTTGAAAGATTTGAGTGGTTATTAACTTATTATGATTAAGTGGAGAAATGTCACAAAATGTTATCTTTTATAAACATGGTGAAAATATTTTTACAAACCAAACATGGTGAAAACATGTCACAAGATCTAGCTTCTTTTTTCTTTCTAAATCCGGCTTCTCCGGTTTTACTAGTCTAGTAATTTAACTATTTAGTTAACATAAATAAATATACATGTTGGAAAAAACAAGAAACATCTCAGTCCAAGTGCACCATACAGCTCCGAACTATATTGGTCAACTAAAATACATATGATATAGATGGGCTGTTTGGGTCCCATGAGGCTCGTTAATTGGGTCCACACACGTTACTCCAATGAGTGGGTGTTGTTTGGTGGCCAATGTTGCTTCTAGGCAATGCTTACCCAAGTTCCGTATCCACTAATACATCTACTTTATATATTACGAAATTGCAATGGATCAATCATTTCACGTCTTCTAATTTCTTTTCTTGTATAGAAATCAAATCATAAAATTGGATGAAGGTGTTTGGTTTTTTTTTTTTTTTTACTCCCTCTGTACCTCGATATTTGATGTTCTACAGTTTTAATTTGTTCCAAAAAATTTGTTTTTTAGGTTTTTGTTTTATTTTTTATTGATTAAAATTAATATATCGTAAACTTAAAGATGTAATGATTAACTGTTTTCTAATACTATTGATTCAAAGTTATTAAAAATGTTTAGTATAAAAAGTAATTGACAAATAATTAAACAATGATTGCTTTTTAACATATGTGAAAACTTTAGAACATCAATCTTTTAAGAACAGAAGAGTATGATTTTATTATGTTGTTAGAGTTAGAGAATCCAGCGGAGATGTCAAGGTGGATTCAACTAAAGTTTTGTTCATGTGCGTTAAATTTTATTATTGGATGTTTAGGCCATGGATCCATTTTCATTAGACTAAACTTTTTCTGAGCCACTACCAAAATTTATTTTTATATAGTGTTTACATACTCTAAAAATTAGTTTAGATTTCAGCTTCAGATTTTGATCACCAAAAAATGATTAAAAGATGAATGCTAAATGATGTATGCAATTGGTATAACAATTGCAAATGGATGTGACGACGACAATTTCAGTTGTTTTTTTAATGTAAATTAAATACAAAAAGCACAATGCATATAACTAATCAAAAGAACATAAATATAGAAATCATATTATTAATAAGTAACAAATAACGATTTCATAAAAACTACTAAAATTAAGGATGTTTAAAATATTAAGTCTAGAGGCCTAGACCATAAACTGAAAGAACCATAAAATAAAAAATAATAATAAATAATTTGAAAATATAAAAAGTAGTTTTGTAAAATATAAAATAATTTCAAGGATTAATATATATATATATATATGTATATATGGATATAAATAAAATTAATAATTAATAGTTTTGTATAAAAACATTTTCCTAATAAGTGTGCATAACAGAAGTAGATCATATACAAGAAATTATGGCCACTATTTTGCATCATTGTAGAAGGATATTAGGAGAGATTCTTTTGTCATTCCAGATTGGCTGGCTGTGTGCTAAGCATATGTCTTTTAGATAAGATATGTCTTCCTTCATACAATAATTTCATAATTATCATTATAGATAATATAGACAATTATGCAATTTATTCTATCCAAGTGTGACTTTTTGAGTGAAACATAATATTAATTAACGAATATTGAACAAGCTCGGCTTCGCATTTCTCTTTCCTTTATATACATATATATATTATCACTATTATCCACTTCACAATTGATAAGAGAACAACTATATCTAATTATCTATTATGGACTATCTAACTTCAAATCTAGTTTGTTTATTATTATTTTATTTGTTTTTTTAAACAATAAATTATAAGGAATCCAAAAGACATGTAAACTTTAGTTAAAGAATCTATTCATGAATTTAATGATAATTCAAGAATGATGTATACTGAAAACAAAGCTATAGAGAATTCAATATTTTTAGAAACTCGGGTATTTGGGCTAGTGAAAGTTTTTGGTTAACCTAGTACGATCATATACAAAATACAATGGTGATGAAATTTATTATGTTTTAGTTTCAAATGTAGATACTTTTTGTTAGTTGAGACAAAGTACGAAATGTGAAATCTAAGTTTCTGTTTTGCACTTGAACTAATATAGAAGGAATTGAAAAGTATTATAATGTTTGTTTGTAAAAATTTGATATCTTTTAGATTTTATATACGACTCAGTGGACTAAAACTTGGGAGATAATAATGATGATGACAAATCGAATACAAAAACGAAAAGTCAACCAAGTTGTGAAGTAGTGGTAAGCTTTATTAACCAACTGACAATACATCAAAATAAGCTAATGTACGTCTTTGTTACCTAATGGTGACACCATATATGACAATACCTCTCTTTTTCAATGACAACATTATGGACCTGTCGGTCGATTTTACATGATATCAACTCTTCTTTGTTTCTGTTTACTAGATCCCTCATCTAGTTAATTTCAAATATATTATATCTTCGTATCAAAATGTTTATTTACTCACTATCACAGCCATAACCATAAGCTTATAATGCAGAAAGGAAAATGTAAAATTCTCCAATAATTGTATCATTTAACGATATCATAAAATGATTTAACAAAATACTCCAACTTTCCTTCTTTTTTTGTTAATTGAATTCTCCAACTTTCCATGTTCTCTTTTTCGAATCACATTAGCAAATCAATTTCTGTTCATAGTTTTTGAAAGTTTCATTGAACCATTTTTGGTTAAAAATTTCTTACCATTGTTAAAAATATGGGTACAAGAATTCTGTTTTCAAGAAACAAAAAAGGACACAATTCACGTAAAATACGATACGATGGTGGAAGGTCAAATGTTTAAATTTGACTAATAGATAGTCCAATGCAACATGGACCGAATGAATAAGTGATAATACTTTAATGTCAGACGAGATCAAAATGAAGAGGACAAAAGTATGAATGGCACAAGACACAAACCATTTGTTAGATAAGTATAAAAGACAAACGCTCACTTCTTTTAAAAATTCAGACCAATATTTATTTTCAATAAAAAGTTGCAATTACCTTTAACTGATTTTATTAAGGCTAAAAATCATTTTATGTACTAGACCTCAAATTCGTTGGACTGGACCTCTTTGATCCTACGAAAATCTCAAAACTATTGCAAAGACAACTAGCCCCAACCAACTAGAAACAACAAGTCAAGACTACTTTATGTGAAAATTTAGTTACCACCATCTAGGATATGTTTGTTTCGCTTTCATTGACAAACGATGAAATTATGTTTGTTTTTTATAGTTTGTTGGTGCAACAATACATTTCAACGCTAAAATCATGTTTGTTACGTTGTTGCTAGTTTAGAAAATTCAGCAGATATATCGCTAACGTTTAAGCAGTTGGTTAACAATCACTAAAATTTATAACTAAATATCATGGATAAAAAAGGAAATTTATCCATTTTTACTGGTCCTAAACAAACGATAATACAATAACAACATCATTATGAAAAACATTGTGTTATTGCGTATCGTTGATGCTTACAAGTTACAACGAACAGAACCCTAGAAAGCACTATGACGTAAGCATCTCCATCCTACCTCTATATTTGCCTCTAAATTCTATTTTTGAGGCAAATCTACTCCAACCTACCTCTATTTTTATTTTTAAAACAAAGATTTCTATTTTTTGCTATATATAGAGGATCTCTATCTTTTTTTTCTATAAATAAAGAAAATATTTTAGAGGAACAAATAGATGAGTACATTGAAGTAAAAATAAAGGAAACTTATCTTTATTATAAAAATAAAAATAAAAATAGAGAACTACATTAGAGATGGTATAATAGAGCGGTAATTCAACGAATCGAATAGGAAAACTTATCTCTTTAAATTTCTTAGCATATACTACTATTTGTGTGTCCTCTAAAGACTAAAGTTATGGATCGGGCCCGTTCAAAAAGCCCATAAACCAAAAAAGATTTGTTAACGAATATTTCAAACTGCCATTCTTTATTTGTTTACATAACTCAAAAGCATGACGATAACCAACCAATAATACAACACCACGTGTTCCCTGACGGTCATTTATCATTGAATCGAAGAAACACCCGCCAGCTCCTTTCATCGTCGTCGTTTCTCACTTTTTTTTTTTTTTTTTTTTTTTTTCTTTTCTCGAATTTTCTTTTGATTTGCCTGATAGTATTTGTTTGTGTGCTTTTGATTGCAATTTCTCAATCTCAATTTCTCTGTGAGATTATCAACACAATTCCTCAAACCTCAGCAGATTCGAATTTAGGTTTTTTTTTTCACCACCTTAAATTTCGCGTCGATGTCGTCCAATCCTCACAGAGGCGGTGCGGGTGGTTCTCTATACGGCGGAGCTGATCCGTATAGATCCAGGTATAGTTCTATTATCAGTTTCTCTTATTTTTGAAATCGATTCTGGGTAGAGAAAATTAGGGATTAAAGGTTCTAGATTTGGTGTAAAGTACAAGTATTTATCTTCGGTGTCTGATTGCAGAGAAGGGCTTAGCACTAGAAATGCTTCAGGTTCAGAGGAAATCCAGCTGAGGATTGATCCGATGCACTCTGACCTTGATGATGAGATCATAGGTCTCCATGGCCAAGTCAGGCAATTGAAGAATGTAAGAAACCCTCTAAATTCCCATTTCGATCTTTCTCTTTTTTTTATTTCGTGTGCCAAATGTATTGTTTGCTTGTGGTTCTGAAGGATTATGATTCTCTTTGAGCTTTAAGTGTTGCTCATATGAATTTGGAAAGTTGTCTTCTTTTTTGGTTTTGAAAGTGGTTAGAACTTAGAACTTGGTGAATTAGTTGTGTAGGTGTTTTTTTTGTTCAGGGTATTATGAAAATGTTCTTGTTTGCTCTGCTTATCAGTCAGTCTGCGATTATTTAGTTGAATCCACTTGTTTGATGTCTTTTATAAACATCAGTGCTTATTATATTATATCACCCTTCTTGAAGGAATCAGTCGATATTCTCTACAATTTCTTGTGTTTTACCTTACATGTAGCACATAATTTATCCCTCATGATTCTTGTTATTTCGTTGATCGCTTATTTTGATGCAGATTGCTCAAGAAATTGGGTCAGAAGCAAAGTCTCAGAGGGACTTCTTAGATGAACTGGTATGTTATTGATGTCGCTCTAGTTCTTTCTTTATCCATCATAGTAAGTTGCAATGTAAGCACTTTACATCAGCAACATGCATTTACTCTTCTTTACGTTGTTGATGAATCACTGATCAAAATATAGTATGTCCGAATAAGGGTTATTGGGTTTCCTTTAACTTGTTTCAAAGGGCTCTGTTCATTAGTTGGAGAAATACAGTTTCATCCCAACGTATGTTAGATAAATTCCACGGTAGCTTACAAACCAATGAATCTTGATAAATCCTCTATTTAGATTATGTTCAGAGTTTTACGCAGGTCTGGTCTGAACTCTGGTGGGTAGGAATATATATCTTTAATCTTGGCTTAGTTAGGTGAAATGCAGCAGGAAATAGTTTCAGCTTATTATTGAGTTCCTGCCTCTGTATCAATAAGAATATGGTGTTGAATATATACATTGCTTTTTAGTTCATTCTAGTTTTTCGTTTGTTACCTGAAGAACATACTAGAGAAGTCAATGGGTAGACCAACAACTAGATTGGTAACATTCAGTTAATGCAGAAACACGCATTAAGTGCTGTCATATGGCAAAAAAAAATAAGTAGACGAAATGTTGTTCTTGTCTGAAACATAAAACGCTTCAATGGTATTTTGTTGTGACAGCAAATGACATTGATCAGAGCGCAAGCCGGGGTGAAGAACAACATAAGGAAACTGAACATGAGCATAATCCGTAGTGGCAACAACCACATCATGCATGTAGTTCTTTTCGCGCTCCTCCTCTTCTTTATCCTCTACATGTGGTCCAAGATGTTCAAAAGATAGAGAGACTCATGGCATACTTGTGTAACGCCCAAAAAAAACCTTGATGAATGTTGGATAAGTTGTAGAAAATATCCTCTAGATTACAACATTTTGTGGTTCTTCTCGTTACCTGTTATATAGAGTGCTTGCTTTTAACAATTACACGAAGCAAAATTGGATCACAGAACAGCATGAGACCGGTTCAAATCTGGCCTTAACCTGATTTAGTATGTCCGGTCTAATCCGGATCACATTTACCTCCATGAGCTGTTATACGTGTCTTATTGTGATTGGTTTGTATGGCTAAGTTCTATGGTGGTATCGTCCGTAGAGGATAAAGTCTCTACACTATGTAAAAGGTACCGGAGAAGAAAAAAAAAGAGAATTTGGGATTGGAGATAAGGAGAAGAAGAGGGAACTTGAATGGCTTCCTTATCCACTTCCGTTGTTGCTTCGGCTTCGTCGCGTTTATGGAATCCTGCTGCTTCCAACGGCAAGATTTGCGTTCCTTCTGCTTCGCTTTCTCTGCGTACGGGTTCTAGACAATCTCCGTCGTCTTCTCTCCTCACCTCTTCCGCTTCTTCGCAATTGCTTCATTGCTCGTTTCTCTCGTCGCCTCTTTCCCTAGCGTCTCCATTTTCTGGTATGTCTCATCTTCTATTTTGTGTTTAGCTTTTGGTGATGTAATGTATCAAGTTTTCTCCTCAATTTTGATTTTTTGGGTTTGCTGGATTTTTCACTGTTCGTGTGTGTGCTTGGCTCTAGCTTACTTTAAAAACCTCTATTTTCGAGATTTTATTTGCAGAATTTGGGAATTGTGAAACATAGTTGTCAATGGTGAATTAAGTTTATGACAACAAGTGAAGATAACATTTTTACAAGTTAAGCTTCAATTTCTGATATCTTAGCTCATGTAATGTAGTCATGTAGTTGTAGGCTGCAAGTGAATGTTGTTTGATTTTCAGTACAGAAATGTTGGGCATTTAGCTTATTACTCTACTAGTAGCTGTATCTCACTCTAGTGTTATTGTTACGTGTTTGCTTCTTCTTTGAGATCCAACCTAGTTCTGTTGACTTTCTTTGTCTCTCATCTAGCTCATGGTGATTAGTTAGGTCCAATGGTTTATAGATTTTGCTCACAACAATGTGTCACATGAACTTGTCCGCCTCTTTTGATCATTACTTTGTTGTAAAGTCTATTGTAGGACCATTGTAACTAGGCTAAGAGTTAAGTAGTGAATTATAAGCTTTGCCAGTTTAGCAACAGACCTTATGGTTAATTGATAGCTCAAGGGTTAAAAGGGTACCTAGAAGAATGCATTAGGGTCATTTTGGGTTTTGTCTGGGTCTTGGTTCTGGGCAGTGTGTCGAGAGTTTTGGGTACCGTCTAATTAATCAAGTCTCTAGTATTGTATGGTGTAGCTTTTTCTTTGGTGAATTGTATGAAGGATTTTACTCACTGGTTCCAATATTATCAGCTTGATACACAATCAAACCTATAATGTCATACTTATCAAAGTGGTGTTGCTGTCTTTTCAGGTTTGTCCATTGCGTTTGATCTCAGCAGTCAAACTAGTGGACTGAACAGCCAGAGACACAGAGGCCTTGTGGTGAGAGCTGGAAAAGCTGCTCTGTGTCAAACAAAGAGAAGCAGATCAAGAAAATCTCTAGCTAGGACTCATGGTTTCCGTAGAAGGATGAGGACCACTAGTGGTAGAGCAACCATAAAGCGCCGACGTGCCAAGGGACGTTGGAACCTCTGTCCCAAGTCCAACCCTAGCAGCGGCAAACGGGCTTGAAGTTTGTTTCTCTCTTCAACCTATCTGTAATCTTGTTTGATATGCTTATTTTTATTCCGCCAGAAGATACAGTGAGAAACATGGTTCGTTGAGCTCTTTTCTGTGTTTAACTCTTTTGCATCCTTGATTCGTTTATAAATCAATGTTCTTGGAATCCATCACAAGTACTAGCTTCATTGAATTTGTTCCTAATCGAAGGAACAACTTCAAAACCAAAATTACGTAATGATCTCTTCTGGCCACCAGGAAAAATCTGATATGTAAGACCTGTTCAGATTTAAGTATTGTCAATGGTTGCTGAAAGTATAGTTTGGGTTCAATCCCTGAAGGGTTTAAGTACTAGTTTTATTTCAACCTAACAATTACTTTTAAGTACTATCCCTAAACTACATTCTGCTATTTAAGTACATATGCTAAGAGGAAATTGTACAAGAAAATAAAAAACTAAATAAATTAAGTTCTTCTTAATGGAAGTTAGGGAGGGATCAGATTGTGTAAAAAATGAGAGCGCCCAATTGTCGTAACAGGCTTTGGGCGGAACGCTCTTCTCGCAATAGAAGCGAGTATTTACCATTCATCATTTCCCCTTTAACTTGCCTGAAGGATCATGCCTTTCACTGAATTAGCTCTTTTTCTTTTATAGACATGTCACTACCATCCTATTTTCTACCTAAACGATGTGGGACAAAATTAAACTATTCTCTTCTAATAAGGGCTATTTATCTCAAACATCTTTGTTTGATAGTGGGCCTATAAAAGGCCTGTGTATATATATTTTTTTTCTGCTCTACAATTCAATGCTGGGCCTATAAAATCCTATTAAGATGAATTACTTCGATATCCGATCCGCGCCACTCCTACGTGACAAACTCTTCATACGAAGGAAAGTCTCTGGTCATAGACTCACTCATAAAATAATTCACATATGCTATTATGTTTAAAAGGTGTGTGATGTGATGGACTAGTAAAGGCCTAACTTGAGTAGAATCTTATGGTGAGACATCATAATATATATATAGAAAATCTCTGTAAGTTTTGCAAACCTGTCCAACCACCAAAAAATGCACTTAAAAACTGATGAAAAGTGCAACCAGACTAGTGACACACATCGAATAAAGAGAAAAGAAAAACACCACAAACAGATCCCCGAAAGTGATCAAATCCAAGAGATTGTGTGTTATCCCGACACGCCAACAAACTTTACCTTGGGGATCGCATTTTAAGAAAACGGTTTCTCATAATTAGTTTCATAGTTTCATTACATATTCTCTATATTTATTCATACAGACAGGATGCATTACACAATCAAGTGAATCCATGGTTTAGGGCATCAAATTAGAGGGAGCATATTTTTTTAAAATTTTTTGAGGTCTTTTATATTAAAAATAAAATAATTATAAGCTTTTTTTTAAAAACAAATTTGTTGGGCTTTCCTTTCATTATATTTTGTGGGCTATATGCTTTTAAATTAATAAAATATTAACTAACGTGTTAATGAATTTTATTAGTAAAATTTTGGTTTAAAAATAAAATTAAAGCCTAAACATTTACAAAAAAAAATTCTTCCCATTGATTCAATTTATATATTTCCTTTTGTGTGTTTGGCTGCTAGCAAGCTTGATTTGATTAATCAAGTAAATATCTAAGTGACTAATTTGAAGTTAATAACTATTTTTTTTAGTTTTAGTATGATTTATATTAATCTTATTTGTGATTTTAGAAAGAAAAAAAATTTATGAAAGGCATGATTTTTTTTAATGGCGTTGGGCATTTAGATATATCGGACCGGCCCTGTATTCATATGATAATATTTCAAATTTCTATCAGGAATAATTATCTAACACATGATGTGAAAAGTCACATGAAATTATGTTAAAGCAAGATGTTAGTTACTACTTTATAGGAGAAACCGTTATAAGAAATCTAGTTCTTTTGTCAACAGAAAATAAAATTATTAATGCAGACAAACAAAAACAGAGTACACGTCAAAAAGAGAGCTCAGGCTCAGCTGCGCTTTTAACTGACGATGATAATGACCTAGTCTCACAACAGAACATCAAACACTACGCTTAACTAACTTAAACATAGTAAACAACCGAATCATAATATCATAAAATTTATATCCACGTAAAATATAGAATACATGTAACATCCATCACATATATTGGTTATAATTGATACATACTGTTGCAGTTCGGATGTTTTACTTTCTTTATAACTAATCATAAAAACGGTATAAAAAAGTCTTTTGCCGTAAAAAAAAAAAAAGTATAAAAATAACACAAAAATCATAAAATGGTATAAATATAATACAAAGATTATGGTGGTATAATGTTACTTAATAACAATTGTAAACTATAAAATATAAATATCTTAGAAAATGATACAATTTACAAACTTTAATATATAATAAATAATCGTTAAATTTTAAAAATTACTATTTTTAGAAAACAAATCATGGGACGGGTTAAAAAGTTACAGGACGGATTGTATTTCGGAACGAAGTTATATGGTGGACCAGTTTGAATCAATATTTATAAAATTTTAAAATATCATTAACATGCCGCTTTAATACAGATTAAATCTTCAGTTTATTAAAATATAAATGACTTAGAAAATGATATGATTTGTAAGCTTTTATATATAATAAATAATCATTAAATTTTATAGTAAAAACAAATCACGGGACGGGTTAAGAAATTACGGAACGGGTTATATTTCGGAACGGGTTTATATGACGGACGAATTTGAATCAATATTTATAAATATCATTAACATCCCACTTTAATACGGGTTAAATTCTCAGTTTATTAACAATTGTCTCGTGGACTCGTGGTATACCGTTACTTAATAACAATTGTAAATTATAATATAAATAAATATTTTATAAGGAGATACAATTTACAAAATATTTTTATACTAACTTTAAAAATAAATCATCATGTGGTGTACCGCGGGTTAAAATCTAGTATTGGTTATAATTGATACATACTGGTGCAGTTCGGATGTTTTACTTTCTTTATAACTAATCATAAAAGCGGTATAAAAATAACACAAAAATCATAAAATGGTATAAATATAATACAAAATATACTGTGAATTTTATCTTATTACTTTTAACTATTTATATACCGATTACTGATTATTGGTATCGTTAAAAATATATATATCGCTTTGCCTTATTAATCGGATCCATTAACCATAAAATTCATACATTTGTATTTTTTTAATAAATTAATAATGACGTGATAAAAATTAAATCGATTTGGAAATCTGCTACAACAATCAAAGCGAGAAGAGATATTGAAATAACCCACTCTGTTACATATTGTCTTACAAGGTGTAATAACTAATTTTGTAATAACTAATTTATTCTACTATGTTCATTACGATAAATGAACATTATAGTTTCAAAAGGTCAACCTTAAGTTGCGGTGTAGATTTAGACGTCATCTAAACAATTCATAAACCAAACCACATAAGTAATGATCACTTGAAATTTAAATAATCTAACCGAATTTAGTTACGCAACCGGATAAGAAGCATACTGAGCTACACCACACATGCCTTGAGGCCACTCCACATCTCTACGAATCCTAATGTAACCATTCTCTCCCCAAGTCTTACCCCAAGAGTTCTTAGCCAACCAGTACTTGATACCTTCCTGGCTCGTACCGTACCCAACCAATGTCACTGCATGATTCACGCTAGTCCCACAGTCCCGCGCATTGTACACTCCCCCTGAGTAATGAATAAAACCAGTCTCACTCGCGTCAATGTCCACTGCGACAGGTTGTCTTGATACGGCTTCGAGTAACGCACGTTCGTTGTTGCTTGGAACGTTTTCGAACCCTCTGATTACTATGGCGGGTATATCGTTGGACCGGCATGGGCCCTCTTTCACTTGGTAAGGGTATGCGTTTTCTGAAGAAACGCCTCCGTTTTTTACTATATAGTTGAAAGCTTCTATCATTGTTCCTCCCTTGCAACCATTGTTCTGCTCTCTGGCGCAATCTAGAAGTTGTTGTTCAGATAGTGATATGAGGTTTCCACGGGCAATCTTTGTCAGACCTTCCACCGCTGCTATCGCTGAGAACGCCCAACAACCTCCTGCTTATACATATAGGTTACTTGGGGAATAAGTTTGTATATGGAGTGTAATTATCTCATTAAAATACTAATCCAGCCGTTTACTTCATTGTTTCCGAATTTGATATATAGAGATTGTTTATATATAAACAGGACAAGCTTACCACATTCTCCTTGGTATTTAACAGGTGTTACAGCTCCTTCGTTTCTCCAATCTTTGGTCGTGCCAAGGACATCACTGACGGTCCAATTCCAAGCTGGCGTCGTTTCATTAACCACTTCGAAAGGTGAAGTTACATTAATGCCACTGAGACCGGTGTGGGTGGCAAGGAACTCCTCTTTAGTCCAATCCGTGAACTTGTTGACACCAAGTTTGTAGCTTTGACTCCCCATATTATTGAAGTTCTCAATGAACTTCAAATTTTCCGTGAACACTTCAAGCCTCATCTGTTTCTCAAATTCATCATCATAAACTCGAGAAAAATTTATCATCCATTTCTGGTGGTAATAAAAAATGGTTGGCTCGTGCAAAGCGACACGAGATGTGGCTTCGGAGATCTTTAGATCCATGGAAAAAATGGTTAAAACAACTAACACAAACTCTACTAAGACCATTTTTGTTTGGTATATGAAAAATTTTCGTTTACACAAAAATATGAACTTCTTTTTGATATGTAAAGAGTTTGTGTTGTGTTGTGGTTTGGTGAAGAAGTGAGAATGAGGAGTAGGATAATTTATAGAGTGAAGAATGAGAGTTGTTACGTTGGAAGCAAATGCAAGTTGGCTATTGTGGTGATGTTATACTTTGCATTACTTTCTTCTTGATCTTCGGAGGAACACTCTTTATCCCTTATTTTATTTTATTTTTTTGTCAAGAAAACTCTTTATCACATGCATAGATATACCGTTACTTTTATATATATGTATCATCAAATTTCATTTTCAAAAATAAATAGTAAGATCTAGTAGCAACCTTAATTACATCTCTATATTATTAAAAGAGAAGTACAAATGAGAAAATGACCTTCATTTTCATTTTTGATAGTAATTACTTCAAATGTCATTTAGAGAAAGTTATTATTAATTGTCTTGTTAGGGATATATTAGGGTCAAACTAACACACGCATATGCACTCGGATCTTCTAATTTTCTTATAATCTAAAAAATCTTTAGATAACAGATTTTTAACTTTAATTCAAAAACGATTTTTTATTTCTATCATATTCATCTTATTCAACTTCTACGAAAATAAAATTCTAGAAGCAACTCAACTACTTTCGGTGATGGTGTCCTAAACGCGTAATTGAACGCCTTCTCATCTCTAGTGGTTATACCACTGCCATTGTCTTAAGACTACGGAAATTAGATGCTCATACATAGAACGCTTCAAACATATAAAATCAATAAGGAATTCAATGCAAACGAGATGATATATATATATATAAATACCCCATTACGAGACGAAATATAAATGAATACATTTCTTACAAGTTGCAACAACTATATGTAATCTAATAATCATTATACACACTTACAAAGTCTATTGGTCAACCTTTGCGATGCAGATTTAGACCACATCTAAACAAATCATAAACCAAAATATATAACAAGATCACCATTTTTGTGGTTTAAATGTTAAAATAATATATCACTTTTATATAAAATAAGTCATCTGCCATTTAGTTAGGCAACCGGATAAAAAGCATACTGAGCCACACCACACATGCCTTGAGGCCACGCCACATCTCTACGGATCCTAATGTAACCATTCTCTCCCCAAGTCTCACCCCAAGAGTTCTTAGCAAGCCAGTACTTGATCCCTTCCGGACTCGTTCCGTATCCAACGAATGTCACTGCATGGTTCACGTCGGTCCCACAGTAAGGCTCATCGTACACTCCCCCTGAGTAATGCATGAAACCGGGACCATCCGCGTCAATGGACACCGAGACAGGCTGCCTCGATACAGCCTCGAGCAATGCACGCTCGTTGTTGCTTGGAACGGTCTGGAACCCTCTTATCCAGGCGGAGGGTTTTGCATTGTACCGGCATGTCCCCTCTGTCTCTTGGTAAGGGTATGATGCTTCTGAGGCAATGCCTCGGTTTTTAATTATATAGCTGAAAGCGTCTGACATTATTCCACCGTTGCAACCGTTGTCACGTTCTCTGTCGCAATCTAGAAGTTGTTGTTCAGACAATGATACTAGGTTGCCTCCAACGATCTTTGTCAAACCTTCCACCGCTGCGACGCTTGAAAACGCCCAACAACATCCTGCCCATAAATGCATCGATATATATTGATTAGTTATTTTTTGATAATTAGCGAATCTCTTATTCCTTAAACCTACAAACCCTAACTTGGGGTTTACGTTTTGTATGTGGAATGATTATTACAATTTTTTAAATACTGAATCCAAATGTGAAATAGAATACGTGTGGGAATCATTATTTGTATGTATGGTTCCGACAAGCTTACGTACCACATTGGCCTTGGTATTTAACAGGTGTTACAGCTCCTTCGTATCTCCAATCTTTGATCTCAGGGCCGGCGACATCACTGACATTCCAATTCCAAGAAGGTATCATTTCATCGACAAATTCCGAGGATGGAATTCCGTTAAATCCCTTGAGACCGGTGTGGGTGGCAATGAACTCCTCTTTGGTCCAATCCGCAAATTCGTTGACACCAAGCTTGTATGTTCTATCCCCTTTCTTGTTAAATTTCTCAATGAACTTCAAGTTTTTCTTGAACACATCAAATCTCATTTGTTTCTCGAGCTCATCGCTATAAACTCGAGAGAACCGAGTCATCCATTGCTGATGGTGTTCAGCAACGATTGGCTCGTGGAAGGTGACACGAGATGTGGCTTGAGAGACTTTTAGACTCATGGAAAGAATGGTTAGACTCACAAACATGAATAATATCGATGTCATTTTGATATTGATGAAAGAATCACACGTTTACACACTAAGAAGTATAGAATTGTAAGGGTTTTATGTAAAGGCCGGTTTCTTTGTGTTGTGTTGTGGTGAGGAAGTGAAGATGGAGAGAAGATTATTTATAAAGAAAAGTTTCGGAGTTAGTTATGACTAACTGAAAAAATGAGAGCAAATTGCAATTGCAAGTTGACTCTATTATGAGTGATGCTATATTTTGCATTACTTGCGCCGTGATATTTGGAGGAACAACTTTCCCATCTTTATATGCACATATATTGCAACTAATGTTTATACTATGACGATTTCACTTAAAAATAAAGAGATAAGATCTAGCTTTATTTACTAGTAACCGTAGGATTTAGGGTAGTATAACATTTGCGTTTAAATGCAATCATGGTCCAATCAAACGTACTCTGAAGTTTATCGGTCGTTGTGAGTTATAACTTTTAAGATATTATATTAATTCGAACCCAAAATTGTCTTTGCAACTATTGTTTTTGGGAAACAACTCATGGTCCAGTGGTATATATACTTACAATGGATTCGTTTCATCATATTAGCTAGTTTCTATTATGGTGTCTTTTATGTCTTCAGAAAGCATGACCAATCAAGGCTTAATTCATGCTCAAGTCTTTTTGTCTTGTAATTTAGAGATCGAACCTCTCTGTGCCAAGTATAGTAGCCCAATGGAAATGATGGCCACTAGATCTTTACCACTTTTTTATTATATGAATTCTTTCTGCATGCAATTGTTTAATGAAGATAATACTTGATGCGATGAGATGCAAAATATCTTTACGTCACATATCAAATTTAATCTAATGCTTATGTTGGGGGGGAAAGATGTTTTCGGTGGATAACTACTATTTATTATCAATATATGTTTCTAATTTAGCTATATGGGATGGTAATAAAACGTAAGAGATAATATGATACGTACGATATAATGTTAGATTAAGAGAGATTAAAAAATTCAACAATTCTCGATTTTTCGTTGCAATAACATAGATAATATATATATAAATCAATTTGTGTGCTGTGTATGTAATAATTAAAAGCTCCACTTAAGAGATAATCGATGATTCCCACTTTCTAACTGAACTGAGAAAACCTTTTTATTCCACTTGCGAATATATTTCCCTTTCATTGTTGTTGAAGACTTTTTCTTGCCCATTCCTTTGTTTGTACCGTTGATACTAGTTTGAACAAGATCATACGGAAAGTCCAAGATACATATATGTCGAATAATCAATTTCCTATTATAACATTTTTTAGCTTAAGTATTTCTTTCAATGATGGCATGAGTAAGTCCTTAATTTTTTATAGAGAACTAAGCGATAACTTTCTATAGTCTAGAAAATTAAATTAAGGACTATTGTGGTTATTCTATACATCAAGCAAATTCCTCAAATTAATGGATTGTGTGTTCTCAGTTCTCACAAAAAAATAGTAATATATAAAAGCACCTTGTGATTTTTGTTTTTTAATAAGGAAAAGAAAGAACTCATGCAAACGATTTTGGACGGAAAAAACTGTTCACTGTATCGTGGTAGTTGATTTTTCATAACTTTTTTCTTTGTTCTGTCCGGTTTATTATTATTCTTATATTTTTAGTATGGCTACAATACAAATACGGTTGGATAATAAAATAAACTTATATTTCAAATATTTGAACTTATACTTTTAGGAAAGTTAAGTTTATAGTATTATATTTGAAATGAGTAACAATCCGACAAAAAAATATGTGCCATTATCGGAATGGAGGGGTAATGAAGCATGGGTTCCAAGTTTATAGTAATAAATAGTACCATATTTATCACACAATTTTCTGTTTATTTTTTTTGTTAAAGTTTTCATCTCAAGTTGCACTCTTAATCAAATGTCTCTGGGGGCAATGATCTCGTTTAAGAGTGTCTCATCCCAAGTTGATACAGTGGTTGAACTTTAAAAATTGCAACAAATTTTTACTATTGAACAAATATCAAATTCAGCAGAAACCATTACACTGAGAAATTAGAGTAATATTGTATAGTTAATAATAATACAAAACTACTGTAATGCATGTATAAAAATTAGATATGGCCTGATCTGATAAATATGTAAATCTAAAGCTTTCTAGAAAACCTAAGTCTCTTGCACGAGTCTACTTCTTTATTTATATAATGGAGACTACACTGAATTCTAACTGGCGGCTGACCGTTCCCATCTACAAGTTGGGACGGCTCTCATGCGCGCCGCAATGTACGCACGCATTGAGATTGCATTATCATTATCATATGATCTTTTTTGTTGGTCATGAATATAAATAAGATTTGAAGCGTGTCATTCCGAAAATGCTGACCCAGTGAACCGATAAACGATAATGGATCTATCTAGCGTAGTAGTTAGATGTTTCGCAAAGTAATTCGTGATATACAATGATATTCAACTTGACTAATTGAATAACGATTTGTATTAGTATCAGTGATAACATTAAAAAGGGAAGGTGGCTTGCGCTTCTGGTTTCAAACTCATGCCCAATAGTCTCTCTATGTTATAATATTTTCTAAAGTTTACAAACTTTTCAAACATTTTGCTTTTATGTTGCATTTATTGTAAAACAGTTCTTTTGGTGAATAAATTTTACATTCATAAAAAAAGAAAAATGGGGAAGATTTTTATTGCTCAATTGAATATTTTAAACTTCTGATTTTTATCAATGTCATAGATGTTTTAGATAGATAAAGAAAAGTTTTTGGACGAAACTATTAGGCATATATATAAGTCTGGTTTATTCTACAAACAAAATCAACTCGTTTGGAGTTTTTGCTACAGAAAACTCAAGAATTCAAAATTATGTTCAAGGTGAGTCTTAAATACTGATTTTTAGATAAGAGAGGAAGAAAAATCCTTAGCATTTAAAAATCTTTTTGGTCTCACCAACTCAACGCCACTAGCCGTTTGTCGAATGCAGGTCGAAGTCGATTATATATGATCTAAAGGGATACCAAGATTACTCGATTATGTATTAGACATGTTCCCATTAGACTCAGACCAGTTCTAGGATCATGTGACTCATTTTCCTAAAGCGCTGGAACGGTTGCATGAGCGGAAACTATCCGCAAAAGTTAATAAGCCTAAATTCAGGAAGCAAGAGATTCGATTCATAGGTGATCGGTCATGTGTGATGTCAGCACAGGACCGTATAATTTCGCAACCGTTTAGGACTGGCCTTGGCTCTCGAATGTCTTGGAAGTTCAAAAAAAATTCTAGGATCCAGGTTATTATAGGAGATTTGTAAGAGAATTTGCTGCACTGACTACTCTATTATTCGGCACCTTGAGTAGAGCGAGAAATGTGAGGACGCTTTCTCGAAACTTAAAGAAGCTTTGAAAATTCATCTCGTTGCATGAACATGGTCAGCCTTTTACCATTTGTACGAACCCTTCGCGTGTGGGCCGAGGATGCATGCATCTTGATGCAAGAAGAGAAGGCAATTACATACACATCAAGACATGGAAGCATGAGCAAAATTACCTCATGTATGATCTGAGATGGCTACAATAGTGTTTGCACTTCGAATCTACTTGTACGGAAAAAAAAAGCAAATTTTGATTGATATCATACAAGTTTGAAATATATATTCATTCAACCTAAACTCAACATATATCAGAGAAGATGGATGAAGGTCATAGCGGGATACTACATACATATATCACCTAGATAAAACTAATGTAGTCAATAATTAAGCTGAAGAAAGACAAAAGACGGTTTGGAGAAGGATTTCCAAAAGCTTGAATCAATAAAGAGTAGTAGACTAGAGACTGTCTACTACAATAAAGAGTAGTAGACGGTTTGGGGACTCAATATCTCAACGTCCTACTGTCTTTGCTTAGCTGCTGTGGAGACTAGAGACCACCTGTTCATCCACTGTCATTTCTCTCCGGTCATATGGGGAAAATTATGATCAATTTGGGTCTGCCGCAGGTAAATTTCAGCGACTGGACTGACATGCTTTCCTGGACAAAGGTCAGAAATAGAAACTCTCCTCCATTACTTCGGCTTCTCGTGACGCATTCACTGGTCTACTGTATTTGAAGGCAGGGAAATAATCAAGTACATAACCAGATTAGTATTCCTCCGCTTACTATCTTCAAGGATATTAACAGGGAAATCATCAACACATTCAATGCTAGAAGAAATATGAGGAAGTTCAGGAATCTAATGGGACTGTGGCTTCACTAGGAGATCCTTGCCTCTGTTTTATCTTTTTCTATTTGTACTCTGTTTTTTTTTTTCTTTTTGGTAGAGTTATAAACGTTTAAGTCTTAAGATGTAACACCTATCTTTCATATATATGATATCTACAAGTTTAGCAAAAAATAAAAATAAAGAGTAGTAGAGTAGAGTCAACGACCCTGCCTGAACTAAATTATTTCCAAAAAATAATACTAATTCGATATTTTTTGAGCTCTTACGCTGCTGTTGTAAACTGTTATTTTCTTGAGAAATTTACTATAAAAATATTAACGTTGAATTTCTTAATATTGCCTCTTTTAGAGACTAGTCTCCCAATCTTTAGACATCAAGGTATTTAAAAGTCTTCAACTCGTAATGTTTCCATTTCTTATATTTGTAATATTAATTATTAAAATATATCTATATGTAAAGTTTCTAATTATTTTCCTTAGACAATTAGAATTCGTGTAGAAATCATCTTGGGATTAAATAAACACACTTTCCTCATATCATGATTTGGCAAATAACTAAATGTATATGTCAAAATCATTTTTGTTAAAGAATGGATATGTCAAATCACGATCATCCTTATCAAGTTTAGTCATATAAATATTTATATAGATAATAGATCTAGAGCTTGCTTGCAGAGTAAAACCGGCGGTCACATAAGCTTTTGACTTCAGTTCAAGGTAGTTTCCATGTATTTTCACAAGATATTTCAGTAGAAGCAATAAATAAAAAACATTATTTTATGGACCTTCAAAGATCTTCTCCATTAAGTTCTCAATTGGTGTCATGCATATATATATATATATATATATATATATATATATATATATATGTGTGTGTGTTTGCGCTTATCCTCTAGTCATTCATCGACCAAAACTGTGTTAACTCTTAAGTGTAATTTATAAGGTCTCTTGAGCTATAAAGATGACAACGGTGAGTAACTTGATCCCCCTAATCATTTTTCATGAAAACTAGCTCATATATACGTTTATTAAATATGTGTGTGTACACAGGTAGTGGAAATGGAAGTGCCAATGGACTGTCCCGGGTGCGAGAACAAAGTTAAGAAAGCTCTTGAAAAGATTAAGGGTAATTAACCAGTGAAGATAGGTTTAAAATCACTAAGTCCTAAACTAATTAACATTTATTCAGAAACTAGTTTTCTTGTCACCCAAGAAACCTGATAATTAAGTCTTGGATTGAACAGGAGTCCACGATGTTCAGATAGACTCAAAGCAGCAGAAAGTAACGGTGACTGGTTCGGCCGAGCAGAAGAAAGTTCTGAAAGTTGCTAGGAATGTTACAAAGAGAGATATATGCTTATGGTCGTACCCTTACAACCCCGAATCTAATGGATATAACGACAGGTACTTCAAGAAGAAGTTTCGCAAAAGAATCAACATGTCGGTGAACGGTGAGAAAGTGAGTTCCTACAACTACCACAAGCATGGCTACCACGGACACGAGCATGGATACTACCAAGAACGGCCTTATTCAGGTCTTATCGATCAGAGCGCTAGTTCTATATTCAGTGAGGAAAACCCTCATTTCTGCAGCATCATGTGATCGACCTTCTTATTTCAGCAACTATGTGGGTGGAACAACTTTTGTTCGGTTTTTATTTGGTTTTGGATATGCTTCATTGTATATAAATCATAGAACCGGATCAAACCCAAATAAGGCCGTTCTTTTATGTAATAAAATTGTTTTCGTTTTAGATTTGGTTAAATTAGGGAAAGGTCGGGTGTATGTATAAGTGGCTTTGTTGTTGCCTTCTTCGGTTGTAAGTGAAAACACTATGTGGATAGCTCTTCTGTAACATTCTGAAAAACTCAACGCTCAAATCAGTAATTTAATATTTAATTAGGATTTGTTCTAGTCAAACCTGAAAAGATGATTTACTTCGTAATATGATGTATTTAGGCTCTTTTTGGGCGAAAAATAAAGTAATGGTATAGTCTTCACTAACGAAATGGAACTAGGATTTTGGCAAGAGTTTCGATTATTTTATCCTAAAGAGGGCATAAAAGTACTTGGTCTGAGCCTCTGAGGTCTTTTACCGGGTCAAGTATCGAATCAGGGAACTTTCTCTCACAAAATAATAATTATTATTATATATATATATATATATATCATTGAAAATAAAATTTGTAATTTTTCTCTCTTTATGTATAGATATTTACTATAATCTTCTTCAAAAATGTAATTATGTAAAATATAAATAATTAAAAAAATAAAATAAGCTATACTTAATATAGAACAAGTATATATCTAGTGAATAGTGAAGAATGGAAAATGATAAGGTGAATAATCTAATAATAATAACAATCTCAATAAATGTTTTTTGTATTTTTGAACGGTTACGTTTTTTTATCGCAACTTTTCATTAAAATATTTATTGTTATTTTATATGATTAATTCTTTTAATCGTATAATTTCATTGAAAAATTTACGGTTAGTTTTTTACGGTTGTATTTTTTTATCGCATGCACTTTTGAACAGTTGTGTCTTTTTATCGCAACTTTTCGTTAAAATATTTACGGGTTTTTTTTCCATTTTTTCTTTTATTGTGTCTTTTTATTGCATCTTTTCATTGAAATATTTATGGTTATTTTTTTACGGTTGTGTCTTTTTATCGCAAGCATTTTTGAAGGGTTGTGTCTTTTTATCGTAACTTTTCGTTAAAATATTTACAATTTTTTTCGGTTCTTTTTTTCGGTTGTGTCTTTTTATCGCATTGTTTCATTGAAATATTTTTATTTATTTTTTTACGGTGATTTCAAAATGTCTATTTCACTTCTGAATGGTTGTTAATGCAACTTTTTGTTAAATACTTATAAATTTTTTTTTTCTGTTGTGCCTTTTTATCGCATAGTTTCTTTGAAATCTTTACGGTTATTTTCTTACGGTTGTCTTTTTATCGTATCTCTTCGTTAAAATACCTTTTACAGTCACTTCAACGGTCGCGACCTTTGATCGTAACTCTTCAAAATATATTTTCTTTTATTTTTAATTATTAAAATTTTAAATAAATTTTTATAACTACTGAGTTGACTCATTGTAACATTTGGTTTACTTACGAACCATTATAATTTTCTGTTTATTTTATGAACCACTGTAACCCTTAATTTATTTGAAAACCGTTGCAACATCTAGTAAGTTTGATATTTATATATAATCGCGTTTCTCGGTGTAATTTTTCATAAAATATATATTTTTAATTTATTTAAATGAATTTTTGCCAACTATTTAATTGAACTGCTGTAACATTTAATTTGTTTGACTAATCTTTGCAACTTATGATTTATTTAATTAACCGTTGTAACTATTAGTTTGATCGACGAATCTGCAACCTTTGGCATATTTGATATCTATGGTCGCGTATATCGATATAAATTTTCATATAAAATGTTAATTTTGAATTACTAAAATACATTTAAATAAATAGTTGCAGCTGTTTAGTTGAACCATTGCAACATTTGATTTATTTGACTAACCATTGCCATTTTTGGTTTGTTTATCAACCGTTGTATCATTTACTTTATTTGATGAAATGTTGCGCACAACCACTGGTATATTTGATATCTACAGTCGCCGTCTCTAGATTATAACTCTTCTTTCACCTGTTTGCATCTTTTTATCGTTACATTTCGTAAACTATTTTTACTTTACTTTTTCTCTAAAGAAATGTTTTATATTGTTAAGTCTTTTCATCGTAACTATTCGTTAAATATTTTATACACTAATAACTAGGCCTCGGCGTTCGGTTAACCATTCGGTTTCGGTTCGGTTGCGTTCGGTTTCGGTTAGTTTGGATATGGTAATATAATAACCATTCGGATATTTTAGAAATTTCGGTTCGGTTCGGTTCGGATACCTTTTAGTTTGGTTCGGTTTGGATATTTAAATAGATAACCGTAACTAACTAAACTTTTATCACGTCCGGTTTGGTTCTGGTTTTTACTCAAAATAACCGAAATTTACCGAAACTAACCAAAACTAACCGAAATTAACCGAAAAAAATACAAAAAGAAAATACAAAAAAAAAATTATTAGAAAGAAAATTAAAATTTGATTCAATTTTTTAAAAGGGTATTTAACTTTGACAAATATAACAAACAATATTTGGATATTTTGATTATTTAAAGTATTTGATTGTTTTAATTCTAAAAATAATTAATATTTTGAGTTTATAATTATAATTTTGGATATTATTTTTGGGTATCTTATATGTTTTTGGATATTTCGGTTAACCGTGTGGTTATCGGTTCGGTTCGGTTCGGTTTCGGTTAGTTTGGATATGGGATTTTACTAACCATTCGGTTATTTTAAAAACTTCGGTTCGGATATGGTTCGGGTTTTTTCGGTTCGGTTCGGTTCGGTCGGTTATTTGGTTAGCGGTTCCTATAGTTGCGTCTTATTGTAACCGATTGTAAAATATTTTTCTTTATGTTAAATCTGAATAAATACCTTTTATGGTTGTGTCTTTTCATTGTAACCCTTCATTATTATTTTTTTTTAAATTTTAATAATTGAAAAATATTTGTACAATTATGTATTTTCAAAGTTGCATCTAGTCATTTAAAATTGTGTCTTTTCATCCATTTTCGTTTTTTCTTCAAAACCTCGTAAAATATTTTTACTTTATTTTTAGTTTGAATAAATATTTTATATAATTGCATTTTTATTGTAACTCTTCGTTAAATATTTAAATTTATTAATTAAAAAATATCTTTAACATAGCTTGGGAAAATAGCGAAGCATAACCCAAATAAGGCCCAACTAAGCAACACGATCATCACTTGATAAAGGAAGCATGACTACATTCGATTTGAAAACATAAAAAATCCCTAGCTGTGTCATCTCATTATCTCCATGTGTTTTCTTCAACGTCTTCATTTCAAATTTTACTCAGATTAGTAAAAGTACGGTTCCACATAAACATGACTCCTCCTTACTCAATTAGCACTAGAGCCAGTAGAATCGGACTACCGAAGCTAATTAAGACCAAAGAGTAGTTGGATTTGTCTTAAACTTGTGTGCTACTAGTAAACCACTTCTTGTAAATTCTTAATATAAGAAAAGAAATACTTCTTAATGGTTCCCACATAGACCTGAGTCCTCCTTAATCAGCAAAAAGATAGAGAGCAAAAGTGGAACAATTGGAAAAATGTTGAAACAATGTTTCTTCCATTTTACTTACTATAGCAAGTTTAGGCTACTAGAAGCCACTATTTTCAACGTTTTACATATATATTCTAGTGGTTACTGAATGGAGGAGAAAGTATGATGGTGACAGAAAACAGCAAAAGCTATATCCAAAAATGGATAAAGCTCTTAAGCGCGTTGGAAAAAGTTGACAAGTAAAGGAAAAAGCAAAGCAGAGTTGAATCATCTCTCGGCTATATAAACAGAGACAGGGGTCACAACACAAATCACTACAAGAACAAATAGAGCAAGAGATTCAATAGCAAAACTTACATTCTTTCAGAAAATGGGGATCGTAGCATTCAGCTGGGGGGAGAGTGTATCAACAACCATCTGACACTGCTGATGAACCGAGACAACTGGGAAAACAGGCAAGTTTAATATTCGTTCGACGTTTTTGGTTTTAATTTTGTGGGCATCAGACATTGTTGTTGAATACTTTTTTGATGTTTTTTTTCTTTCTCTATATGAGCGATTGATAGGGTCATAAGTGGGGCATCTTGGGATTGGAACGACCAGATTTTGAGTGGTCGGTGCATAGATAACGACGGGACGTGGTTTGGTATTTCTAAAGGTGGCCGAGTCGCTTTTCTCGTGAATACATCGTTGTTGTTAGACCGCGTTGAGGCAAACGGCGGCTCGGAGTTGTATCCCGTTTGTTTCTTGGAGGTTTGGCTTTTTAGCTTTTCTTCTCTTCATTTATATCCAAACTCTTTCGATCGATCTCTTTGAACACGGGGTTGCTTTTGATTACAGGGAAACATGAGTCTAGACCAGTTTGCCAACGAACTGAGACTGCATGAAAAGCAGAGTAATGAAAGGCATGTCTATAGTCTTATCGTTGCCGACATAACTTCGGGTTCAATGGTTCATATCAGGAAACCTTTGGAAAATGAGTCGGATGTCATGATAGAGACCGTTTCGTATGGTGTGCATACACTTTCTCCTTACAAGGGTCTCGATTCCACTGAATCTCCCAGGGTAATTACGTACAAGTGTCTTGTAATAGAGTAGAGTTGTTAAGATAGTCCATTAATGTGCAAATCTTCTCGTATAGTTTTATTCTTTTTATTTCTAAAATCAAACCCTCTGTTTTTTTTTTGGTATGATGCAGGATTCACGCCTGAGAGGCTTGTTTAGCCAGCAGATGATTGTTGATTGGGGAAACGTTCAAGCTCTTGGGGAGATTGGTGGGAATACTGAGGGAGGAAGAGACGCCGCGTTTCTGGAAACTATGGATGAATATCCTTCTGGAAATGTAAGAAATTGATCTACCGTTTCTATGATCTTCACCATTATAGCTAATGGTAATTCATCTCTTTCTTTTCGTTTCGATTCAGCTTGGAAGGCTACGCTATGGAACAACAAGTACGACAGCATTGTCGGTGAGACGCACGGAAGTGATGGTCTTTGAGAGGTACAAGGTTAGTGGTGGATGGGAAGGACCACGGCTTCGCTTTCGACATCGAGTAGAGGAAGTTATAAAGAAACATTGCGCAGCATCCAACTATTATTATCTATAGTTAATAAATAATCTTGTTGATGCTGTAAATACATCTTTTTAATTAACCTTGTTGAGATTCAGGGAAACCTATTTCCTTGGTCACACTATATCTCTAGTTTATGCACATTATGCTTAATATAATAAATAAACAGTGTGTTTAAGTCTCTTGAGCTATTTATCTATAGTTTCTCTTTCACTTTACTTTCACCTTAATTCATGCATTTCTCAATTCTGATAACACCGAGCCATAGTTTGAAGAATGGATGCAGACAATTGGGGTAGGTTATAGAATTTTTGGAAACCTTTTATTTGTCAGAAGCTTTGACACCACATCTTATTTTTTGCAGTGACTCTAGCCTCTAGCTACTACTTTCGAAAGACTAAGAACGTAATTAAGAATTAAACAAGAAATTGAAACCAGGAAAAAGCAAGAACATGTAGATATTAAGAAAAAGAATGCACGCTACCATTTATCATGACAACTATAACAAAAATAAGCCAAGACATGAAGAGATTGTTTGTTTTGTAACTCTCAAGTCTTAACGGCTGATAAAGAGATTACTATTTTCCAAAATGTTTACTTTCATAAATTATCATACTCCCTCCGTTTCGTTTTACTTGTCGTTTTAGAGTTAAATTTTTGTTTCATAATAGTTGTCGTTTTAGGTTTTCGATGCAAATGTTTGGTGAAAATTCCAGTTTTATCTCTACTGTTTTAATGTTTCGGCCAATGAATTTTTTTATAAAATATATTAATAGAGGGTAAAACAGAAAATTTAATGTTTTTCTTAATTTGTGTGAGAAAACATTAAACGACAACTAAAACGAAACGGATGGAATAATTAGTATCTCAAAAATTGAAATCACCAAAGCTATAAACAAATTGGAATATTTTAAGGGAAAAATGTCGTTAAAATCCCCAATTTATTCAAAACATTGATTTAAATCCTCAACTCATGACGAAACGAAATAAATATCAAACTTATGTTGATTTTCTAAATAAATATTTAACTTATGTTGACTTTCCAAATAAACACCAAACTTTCATTGACTTTCCAAATAAATATCAAACTTCCGTTGACCTGACCATATTAGGTATGACGTTAAGTGGGTTAATAAATCCTCAACTCATGACAAAACGAAATAAATATCAAACTTATGTTGACTTTCTAAATAAATATCAAACTTATGTTGACTTTCCAAATAAATATCAAACTTCCGTTGACCTGGCCATATTAGGTACGACGTTAAGTGGGTTAATAGATCTCGTTAACGGAGGTAATTTTCTGTTAACATATATGTTAATTGATAACGACATTGTTTCATATAACAACAAAACGACGTCGTTTTGTCGTAACAATTGAATTAAATCCCTAAAGTCAATTTTAGATCCCCAAATCGAGCAAAATCCCTAACCCTAAATAGAGTATGATTTGAAACTCGGGATTTTATTGAACATTTACGACAAAACAACGTCGTTTTATGTTTAGAAGGAATACTTGTTAGTGTTTTGATCAACAAACGAACTCTGTTTTAACAGAGTATGAAGAACAAAACCAAAATGAAAAATAGAGTATGAAGAAACTTGATCTTTATTGATAAGATAAAATGTATTACACACAATGATGTTAATCGAAAAGACACAACTTTACGAACAGATACAACTATACGTACGTACATTCGTGACTCTTACGTAAATAACTAACTTATATGAATACGACTTTAGGTTATATGACTTAGATGAGATTTGATTATAGTTCAACAATACTGTCATTTTTAATTAGCGGGTCTGTTAACAGAAAATTATTCCCGTTAACATTGTCTGTTAACTCACTTAACGTCATGCCTAATATGACCAAGTCAATGAAAGTTTGGTGTTTATTTGGAAAGTCAACATAAGTTTAATATTTATTTGGAAAGTCAACATAAGTTTGATATTTATTTCGTTTCGTCGTGAGTTGAGGATTTAAATCAACGTTTTAAATAAGTTGGGGATTTTAATGACATTTTTCCCAATATTTTAATATGGAGCCACTAAAACCCCAATGGTACCCTTTTTAGATTTTGGTATGAAAGTGATCAAGTTTTGCGTATGAATGCAAATCTTCAACGTCTATGGAAAAAATGGGGCATGACTAAAACCGATATGAAAGAAAAAAAAAAATCAACAACCAACAAAAATGGCCCAAGCTGCCACCTCATCATTTTCTTGGTGTTTTCATGAACGTCTTGGTTTCACTTTGTCTTAGATTAGTAAAAGTATTTTCTAAAATGTAAAATATCATTACTTAAAAACAAAAACAAAAAACTAAAGGTATTTAGAACAAGTCTATATCTACAGCATCACAAATAATGAAAATCAAAAGATCACAAAAATATGAATTTCTACCCTTTTTAAAGTATATATTATAATACAAAAATTATATATTTTTCCAGTATTAGATTTCTTTCTTCATTATCTCTGTTGGGGTGAAATTGTGTCTTCTTAAGGTGACATATATCTATATTCTTTTCCATTTTTCTGGTGTAAATCAAGTAGATCTAAAACTTTTAAGTATTCAATTTATTTGTGTATATCATTAACCATGTTCGGTTTAAACGCAATGTAACACTACCCAAAACCTTAAGCTAGGTTGCTAAAAAACATAAATATAGATCTAAAACTATTTATGTCATCTTATCTATTTATTTTGGAAAATGAAATTGTAAAGAAATATATATATATACACATTAATAGCAATACATCTATGCTTACAAAAAAAGGGAAAGTTATCTTGCTAAACCAAGGAATGGATAAAGTTGTTCCTCCAAGATCATGAAGCAAGTAATGCAAACCATGTAATCACCACAATTGAGTCATAAACTTTCATTTGCTTCCAACATAACAACTTTCATTCCCTCTATAAAAAAAAAAAAACTCTTTCTCCCCACCACAACACAAACCCTTTAAATATTATTCACAAAAATCAAAATGGTGTCGGTATGGTCTGTGTTGGTGGCTCTAACCATTCTTTCCATGGATCTTAGGATCTCTCAAGCCAGACCTCATGTCACTTTGAACGAGCAATCCATTGTTGATTACCACCAGCAATGGATGACTCAGTTCTCTCGAGTTTACCAGGATGAATCCGAGAAAGAAATGAGACTTCAAGTGTTCAAGAAAAACTTGAAATTCATTGAGAACTTCAATAATATGGGGAACCAAAGCTACACAGTTGGTGTCAACGAGTTCACGGATTGGACAATAGAAGAGTTCCTTGCCACCCACACCGGCCTCCGCGTTAACGTAACTACACTATCCGAACTATTTAATGAAACTATGCCATCAAGGAATTGGAACATTAGTGATATCGACATCGACGACGAAAGCAAAGACTGGAGAGACGAAGGAGCTGTAATACCTGTTAAAGTTCAAGGAGCATGTGGTAAGCTTACTGTGATTATATACACTATAAAAAGTCTACACTAATTACTTGAAAACCGTCGGGATATAGTAAACGGTGGATTGGTCATTTAAACAATGTCATAATTAGATTATATTCCACATACAAAAAAATACATTAGGCAAAACTTAATCCCCAAGTTAGGGTTATTCTAGGTTTAGGGTTATCAGTTGATTGTTTCTTAACAAAATGAAGTAACCAACATATATATATATATATACCTGGGCAGGAAGTTGTTGGGCGTTCTCAGCGATTGGGGCGATGGAAGGTTTGACAAAGATATCTGGCAAAAATCTATTAACACTGTCCGAACAGCAGCTTATAGATTGCGACACAGAGAAAAACACTGGTTGTGATGGCGGAGGAATAGAAGAAGCTTTCAAGTACATAATAAAAAACGGAGGGGTTTCTTTAGAAACGGAATACCCTTACCAAGTGAAAAAGGGGAGCTGTCGTGCCAACGCCAGATCCGCCACTCAGACACAGATTAGAGGGTTCGAAATGGTTCCAAGCCACAACGAGCGTGCGTTGCTCGAGGCCGTAAGAAGACAGCCAGTCTCGGTGTTGATTGATGCAAGAGCGGACAGTTTCAAAACTTACAAAGGGGGAGTATACGCTGGGCTGGACTGTGGGACAGACGTGAATCATGCAGTGACGTTCGTTGGGTACGGAACGATGAGTGGGCTCAACTACTGGGTGCTTAAGAACTCTTGGGGTGAGAGTTCAGAGTTGGGGAGAAAATGGTTACATGAGGATCCGTAGAGATGTGGAGTGGCCTCAAGGAATGTGTGGTATAGCTCAGGTTGCTGCTTATCCGATTCCTTAACTAATTTGGTTAGGTGGTTTGGTTTTATATTGAAGTGATCATACATTTTGTAGCCTGGTTAACGATCGTTTACATGCGGTCACATTGCAACTTAAAAACTATAATATGTAACATTTTATTACTCCATATAATGTATTCCCTCCCTTTCATAATAAATAAATGTGTTTTTTTTTTTCATCAACCAATAAATAAATGTGTTTATTATCACTAGTTTCATACAGGCCCGTGCCTACTTGAGTAAAAAAGAAACTCTCGCTTCCGGCCTTATTTATTTTAAGAAATCAAAGGCTCACTAGTTTTCTATATGGTAATTTTAGGTTTAATGTTTAGTATAAAAACACGATGTTTTAGGTAGACAGAGTTAATGATTTTATTTTTTCCAGTAGCTACGTAGAAATGAAAAGTTAAACAATTAACAAAATCCACTGCCCATTAGCATAATACAAAACTTCAAATATTTAGGAGATATTATGAGTGAAAGTTCAAACTCTCTCGATTTTTTTTATAATTATTTTATAGCATTGATGATTTTGTTATCTTCTTTATCAAATTGGAGTTTGTTAAAAATGTTGAAAGTTTAGTTAGTGATTTTATAGAAAAGAAAAAAATTGTTTAATATTAATCTTTTATTTTCTATTCTACTTTATATATATATATATATATATATATATATATATATATATATATAACAAAGATGATAATGATTACTATTACTCTTTAAAAAATTTGATTTATATAACTTAATTTTTTTTCTTCTTTAAACACCGCTTCCGGCCTCGGTATCTATAGGTACGACTCTGGTTTCATATTGTTTGTATTAGTTTCAATGCAATTTTAAAAACGAAATTCAAAAACGTTTTGGTATATATATATAGATGTATATAATTATTTTTACTACGTGATGTATGTAGTAGAACAAGTATATATTTTTTTTTTTGGTAGGGAGAACAAGTATATATTTACTAAAAGTAATATTAAATTAATAAAAAAAAACATTTGAGCTTTGTTTTGGGGTGTTGTTGGTAGATGAAGAGGAAGAATCTGGTCCAAATTCTACACTTTCGACTATAAAATTCCAATTTCGTTTTCTGAAATAAATTATTCTGTGTTTTTTTTTTTCCTAAGGTGCTTGAGTCGCTTAACAACAACACCCTAAATAATTCAGTACAAAAAAAATTAAAAATATAAAATTAAACTCAGAAAAATTGGCAAAGTCGAAGATGATGATTGAATGTTTTACTATTTGGCAGTGAACGGAAGAGATAGAGAAGAGCATGGGTCTCCGTGAAGAAGATAACGGAGAGAGAGGCATGTTTGATTCTGAAGCGTGACGTCACTCAGAAACCGTGAATCAAGGATCTTTCTTCCACTCCTTTCTCTGATTTTGACTTTCTCTCTCTATATATAAGCTCTCCAGTGTGTGTATCATCAATATGTCTACGGCTTCTTGGATTCAACAACCTCCTTTTAGATACTTACCGGATCGTGGTAAGCCAAGCTCTCGCAGAGCGCCGCAGTTTTTCTCTGGCGTTGTTTCAGCTTCTTCTTCTTCTTCTTCTTCGCCGTCGTCTTCTTCGTGCTCTTGTGGTTATTCCGAGATTTTGAATTTTCATTTCGGTAATTGGCTTCGATTCTTCTGGTCTTTCGACTTTTGTTTGGTTTCTTTGTTCATGTGTATGAATGATTCATCGTTGCGAAGTTTCATAGTGAGGATTTCTCGATCATAGATGTAGTTTAGGATTGCTCAATTGAATGTCAATAATAGTAGTATGGTGTAATTTAGATAGATGAAGAGCTCAAATTCATTGCTATGTACACAGATTTTTCCCTGTTTCTGTTTATGCAAGAGAAAAGAAGATTTAAGATGTTAAACGATTGTGAGAAGCTAAGTAGAAATGGTGATAGTATGATTTTGTTTGGTTAAGAATTAGCTCTGTTCTTCTTTTGATTTATAGCTTTTTCCGCGGGTTCATTTGTTTGATTTCTCTTTACGCAGGCTCAAGCAGAAGCTGGAACCAACTGGGACTCAGGGTTCAAGCAATGAGTTCCACAGCCCAACGGAATTTTTCCTTATCCAAAGGCGACACTGATGATAAAAATGAACCTGATCATCTTCTTGTTCTTGTACATGGTATTTTGGCCAGGTATGATGTCTAAGAAGTTCATCATTTGAATGCTACTAGTACTAGGTTTCCATCTTGGGAAACCCTCATGGTTTTCTCGTATTATTGATGCCCGTCTTCAGGTTGGGATAGAAACTTGCAAGTATTGAATTTTAAGTTGAAAGTTGTGTCTATCATTTCTGCTACTTATAGATTGAATAACTTCTCGACTCCAAATTTACTAAATCACAATTACTTGCAGTCCCAGCGACTGGCTCTACGTAGAAGCTGAGCTGAAAAGACGCCTTGGAAGAAGATTCTTGATTTATGGTATGCCTCATCTTGTTTTAATTTGTTATCCTCTATTAGTTGTTGGATTATATATGGAAGAGAGTTTTTGGGAACGGAATGGTAATTTAAGTTGAATGCTCAAAATTTAAAAAAACTTCAAAGTCTTATATAATCTTTAGCGGCAAGAGGCGAAAGATACATTTTCGGAAAAATTTCAGATCTTTTTGTCTGAAACCACAACTCTTCTTTAGTTTTGTATTTTATTATTCTACTCGTGTTCTTTTATGCTAAGCGTGGAATGAATCACACATGATGCGTTTTAATTTACTCTGTTTCTCCTAAACATGCACAGCAAGTTCTTCCAATACCTTCACTAAAACATTTGGCGGGGTCGATGGAGCTGGAAAACGACTAGCTGAAGAGGTGAGTTTTAATATTCTTACAAAGTCATTTCCACTTCTTGGTTTTCTAGTCCTTAACTTCAGTACATCAGCTGATTTCTGTTTCCATTCTGGATGTGAGAGAGGAATAGGTTAGACAAGTTGTCCAAAAGAGCAAGAGCTTAAAGAAGATTTCCTTCTTAGCCCACTCCCTCGGTGGCTTATTTTCCCGACATGCTGTTGCCGTTCTTTACTCAGCAGAAATGTCACAAGCAAGTGATGTTGGTGTCTCTAAATCTGGCGATTCACATCTTCTGCGAGGTAGGATTGCGGGGCTCGAACCGATTAATTTCATCACTTTGGCAACACCTCATCTTGGAGTGAGAGGCAGAAAGCAGGTTCTCTTCTTCACTACTTATCATAATTGGAATCAGAGAGTGTCATACGTATCTCGCAGTACCTGTATGTAGATGTGGTGTGTGCTTAGTTGAGAAAGAAGTTAGTGGTTATTCACTGTATATTTCATATACCTCCTACTTGTGTTCAGACAGATATCATAAGTTTCATCAAAACTCTCTTGACTGCTGAATATTACTGTCTAGACTACTGAACATAAATTGATAGTCCAAGGAAATTTTATCTCATTCTCTCCTCCTTTTCTGGAATCCCTTGTATCAGCTGCCTTTTCTGTTGGGAGTTCCTATTCTAGAGAAACTTGCTGCACCAATAGCTCCGTTCTTTGTTGGTCGGACTGGTAGCCAGTTGTTCCTCACTGATGGTAAAGCTGATAAACCACCTCTTCTTTTGAGGATGGCATCTGATGGTCAAGATCTGAAATTCTTGTGAGTAATGCTCTTACCAATTTAAATCATTATACCCCTTAATGACTTATTTGTAATCCTAATGCATTTCATTGTCTGGCAGATCGGCGCTGGGGGCATTTCGAAGCCGCATTATATATGCAAACGTGTCTTATGACCGTATCCTGTGCATTTCTGTTGCTGTTTAACTAGTACAGATGTGCCTAGTGCCTAGCTTTGTCTGCATTTGTTTTCAGAACTGTTTCCTTTGACATCAAGTAGACATGGTTGGTTGGCGTACATCTTCCATAAGGAGAGAAACTGAACTTATCAAGGTACGTTTCATGCAATATGAAACAATTAAACCTTTCTATTTAATATTTTATCCCACTTGTTTTCCGATTCCTTCTATAAACTCGACTCTGAAACTTGTAGCACATTAGCTAGATAATGGGGTCATCGATATTAATAGTTTGCTCGCTGTGAAATGTTAACGGTGGTGAATGTATACTCAATTTTGGAATTATGATAGTGATCATAGAGGAAAGTTTCACGCTAGTTGTTGAAACCCTTGTACTGTCCACTAGATCAACACCACCATAATTCCATAGGAAAAAAAAATCTCTCAGAAATTAAGATCTCGCGATTTGGTCTTGGTGATCTGTAGCTAAACCATAACCGTAATAGCTTGGTATTTGCAGATCGATATACAGCTGACATGTTGTACTGTAAACAATTGCCTGTAGAGAATCACCAAAAATACTTGTGGCAGTTCATTTATCTCAAATAGCTTAGAAAAGATTGATAGTTATTCTCTTCGTGCAAGAGGCTATCTGTGGCTTTTAACCAGTCAAATGCAAGTTTGAAAACTATTTAGCTGTCTGTCACGACTGACATCTGATAGATATGCTTTTCCCCTGTTTTAATGTAGCCTCCACGCCGGTCTCTGGATGGATACAAGCATGTTGTTGATGTAGAATACTGTCCACCTGTTTCATCAGATGGTGCCCATTTCCCTCCAGAAGCTGCTAAAGCCAAGGAGGCCGCACAAAGCTCTCCTAGCCCTCAGAACACACTTGAGTATCATGAAATTGTGGAAGGTGTAGATAAAGCTAATTCTTAGCCCAAACATTTTTATTGCTTCTTCTAAATCGGCATGAAATTTACAGTTTATACAAATATTGGTGCAGAGGAAATGATCCGCGGTCTGCAGAGGTTAGGGTGGAAGAAAGTTGATGTCAGCTTCCACTCCACCTTCTGGCCTTACTTAGCTCATAACAACATTCACGTAAACTTCAAGCATCGTCACTTTGGAGCTATTTTATTCTTTATACATGTACTAAGAGAGATTTTGGATCTTGTTTCAGGTGAAAAGCGAAAGACTTTACAAAGCAGGAGCTGGAGTTATTGCGCATGTTGCAGATAGTATAAAACAGCAAGAGTCTTCCACTTTTATTACCGCCAGCTTATAAACTGTGAGCTTTCGAGTGTTTGACCCGTTAATGTTGCGTGTGCCGCGACATTTGAACCATTCCTGTTTTTCTTTTACTATACAGTTTGGGAGATCGGTGCAGATCAAGAACGTTCGCATCTTTGCTTTTCTTTTGTTGTTGGCGAAATCAGAGGAAGTATATTCCAATTCATCTGTACATGATTTTCTTGTAATAGCTTGCTGATGATACAACACTTGAAGATGTTATTATAGATACAGGTTTCTTAAAGAGAAAGTTATATGTTCAACCTCTACTCTTCCCTGCTGTTTTTTCAAGTAAATTTTTGTTTCCCAATTCAAAATAACAGATTCAGCTGAAGACATATTTTTCTCTAGTCAAATGTGTTTTGGAATTTTTCCTATTGCTGTATATTTTCTTGTTTCATTCTTTAAGTCAAAGAAATTTGTGCAAAAGCTTTCTTGTGCGGCTCATATTAAATTAGTCATTTACTACTAAAACTTTCATTTTGGGTCTAGTAGATAATTCTCCACGCCCATTATATTGAATTTCTAGTGGACGTCTAAAACATAAATAAGATTCTAGATTGAGATTTGAAAAAACATCCCCATCACAAGAAAAGAAAGAACCTAGTTGGAATCCATAAAGAAGAAATTATTAGCAGAAAAAAAAACAGATGGTAATGAGAAAAGATCGGGTTCAAGGAATACACAGCCGTACAAAACTCAAGAACGCAAACACCAAAAATAACACAAAAACCTTCCAAAAATAGATATAGAATCACATGGTTTTGTTGTTTTGTCTATTTGTTCTCTATAAAAGGAGATATTTGGTTGTATCTATCATAGCGTCTCCTCTCAACCAAAGTTTACAATTTGTTCACCTCAAAACTAATTTTACAAATAAACTCTCAAATCCAAGAGAGGAGAAGACCGAAGTAAAAACACAAGAAAACAAAGAATTAAGGCATAATGGCCAAATTCTTCATTCTCTTCCTTGCCTCTGCCCTATGTTTCACCACCCTCATTCACTTCACCGCAGCTGATGCTGACGACTTCGACAAATTCCACATCAAGGGCTCCGTCTACTGCGACACATGCCGTGTCCAATTCATCACCCGTCTTAGCAAGTTCCTCGAAGGTAATTAACGACATTCTCTAATCAAATTCATTTATCGATATTCGATCATATGAGAGTACCGTCAATAGGAATATATAGATCAATGGTTTGAATTGTGTAGGAAAAATTCACAATTATGATTACAAGCATAGACGTATAGTTAAAAATGTTAAATATTTATAAAAATGTGGTTATTCACATGTCTTAGAGTTAGTGTTGCAAGTTAAAAAAAAAAAAAAAACTTACGTTATTGTGTGTATATCAGGGGCAAAGGTAAAGCTTGAGTGCAAGGGCCGTGAGAACCAGACAGTGACACTTACCAAAGAAGCTGTGACCGACAACGCCGGAAACTACCAGATGGAAGTAATGGGTGACCACGAAGAGGAAGTGTGCGAGATCGTCCTTGTCCAATCACCTGACGCAGAGTGTGGAGAAGTGAACAACCAAGAGTTCCTAAGAAACGCAGCCAGGATCAGTCTCACGGCCAATGATGGCATTGTCTCCAACGAGACTCGAACCATTAACCCACTTGGGTTCATGAGGAAGACTCCTCTCGCTGAATGTCCTCAAGCTTTCAAGGAGCTTGGAATCGTCCCTGACGTCACCTTCTAAGCTTAATATACATATATATATATATATATATATACCCATATACATTTCTCAAAGTCTCAACAATTTTAATTTTTTTGATGACTCTTTTTAATATATAAAACATTTATTTATGTTTTTATGTTTTTATGTGTCTGTCTGAGTTTACTTAAACCGTGTTTTTCTTTTCGTTGTTGTTGTTGTTGTTTTATTTTTGGGAGTTCTTTGCTTTACGAATGATTTGATTACCTTCCAATATTAATTTTTTACGGAATATTTTGATTTATCTTCCAAAAATCATTACTTGTTGAGTTTGAGGTCAAAAGATAACAATAAAGTTTGTGAAGAACTAAAACTGAAATAAGCAAAAGACACAAAATAAAATAATATAGAAAGGAGGCGGATCAGAGATTGGGCCTTCCGTCTGGGCCACTAGGCCTTAATCACAAAACGCGTTTCCATGTTTGCAGCGTCTGGCGTTGGTTTTCAAACTATGAATCCTAACGCTAGATTTTTAAGACGCCCAATTTGAAAGCGTTCGTGATTCCAGATTCTAAAGACAAATATACCCTTGAAAAAATTGTAAAACTACGAGAAGACCGTCCATTTATCTTTCCTTTCAAGCCAAAAATCTCACGAATCTTCTATTTCTTCTCTACCGTCGTCGAAAGCTTTACCAAAATCTCACGCCCCCGACGATTCTGCCGATTCATCGGTAAGTCTTGTACTTGCGAAATCAGTTTGATTCTTCTTCTGGGTTTGCTTATCACAGATCTAACGAATTCTGGGTTTTGGTATTCGTATTGTTTCGATTTCAAATCTGGTTCTTTCTCTCGATAGTTCTAGGGTTTAGCTTTGTTCGATGTAGTTGATCTCAATGAAGAAAAATCCAATTAGTGGATTGGCTCGAGGATGTTCTAACACTGATTGAAACGAAGCTGAATACAGAATTAAATGGATCTTAAAACTTAAAAGTTAGATGAATCGAAGAATTCGAAGTGAATAAGTTAGTATTTCTCTTTGATTCATCTTACTAGTTAAAATTTAGGTTATAGTTCCATAAGCTTCGTAAATTCAGTACCTGTATTGCTTTATTTTTGCCTCGTTTGTCTGTGATAGATCTCTCTAGGCTTGTCTTGATCATTAGATACAGAAGACTGGATGGATTCAGTGATAAATTTTCATTCTTTCTATGCTTTTATCTGATTTCTTGTTGTTGTAGTGGATTTGATTTTGTAGTGATGTGAACCTAAAGCGTAGGAATAATTTTGAAAAGAGAAAATATTTGAGCATTGCATTAACACATCTATGGCTTTAATGTTGCAGGGATTTGAGTTTTCACAAAACCCACAATGGTTTCGTATCCTGCTACCACAGAGACGATTTCCCTGGCTTTAGAAGCCAACAGCTCGGAGGCTATTTTGATATTGTACCAGGTTTTGGAAGACCCTTCTTCATCTCCAGAGGCTATACGGATCAAAGAGCAAGCGATTACAAACCTCTGTGATCGACTTACTGAAGAGAAGAGAGGTGAGGATCTCCGGAAACTGCTAACCAAGTTGAGGCCTTTCTTTTCGTTAATCCCCAAGGCGAAAACTGCAAAAATCGTCAGAGGAATCATTGATGCTGTGGCAAAGATACCTGGAACAACTGATCTTCAGATCACTCTCTGCAAAGAAATGGTGGAGTGGACTCGCGCTGAGAAGCGTACTTTCCTCAGGCAGCGAGTAGAGGCTAGGCTTGCAGCTCTTTTGATGGAGAACAAGGAGTATGTTGAAGCTTTGGCACTGTTGAGTACTTTGGTAAAAGAGGTTAGGAGATTAGATGATAAGCTCCTTCTGGTTGACATAGACTTGTTGGAGAGCAAACTTCACTTCTCATTGAGAAACTTACCCAAGGCAAAAGCTGCACTCACCGCAGCTAGGACAGCTGCAAACGCTATATATGTCCCACCAGCCCAACAAGGTACCATAGATCTGCAGAGTGGGATTCTTCACGCTGAAGAGAAGGATTACAAAACTGGATACAGTTACTTCTTTGAAGCCTTTGAGTCCTTCAATGCTCTCGGAGATCCAAGAGCGGTTTTCAGTTTGAAATACATGTTACTGTGCAAGATCATGGTTAGTCAAGCTGATGATGTTGCGGGAATAATCTCCTCAAAGGCTGGACTACAATATGTTGGCCCTGACTTGGATGCCATGAAAGCAGTAGCTGATGCTCACTCAAAGAGATCCTTGAAACTGTTTGAGAACGCACTCCGTGACTACAAAGCACAGCTTGAAGATGACCCAATTGTCCACAGGCATCTCTCGTCTCTCTATGACACGCTTTTGGAGCAAAACCTGTGTCGTTTGATCGAGCCCTTTTCAAGGGTTGAGATAGCACACATTGCTGAGCTGATTGGATTACCGCTCGACCATGTGGAGAAGAAGCTATCTCAGATGATACTCGACAAGAAATTTGCAGGGACATTGGATCAAGGAGCTGGATGCCTCATCATCTTCGAAGACCCAAAGGCAGATGCTATCTACTCGGCTACTCTCGACACCATTGCAAACATGGGGAAGGTCGTCGACAGCCTTTATGTCCGGTCTGCCAAAATCATGTCCTGAGTGAGTGAGTTGGTCGTCTGAATCTCATTCTATCGTTCTTTCTTTCTCCTTTTTTCGGTTTTAGATATCGTTTGGACCCAAAGAAACTGATGCTTCTCAATGGAGAAAGTTAAACTGTATGGATTGTTCCCATTGCTTGTTTCGCTTATGATCTTATTATGTCATGGTTTCTTACTTCTCTTTAGTGCTTAAAATGTAGGATTTGTTATCATTTGGATTTTGCAGTTTCTTTCTCTTAGCCTCACAAGTCAACTTTGTGTTCTCTTTTTCCAAAACCTTTATTACTTTTTAACTCATCCAAATCTCATTGATTTTCTTAGCTCCGCATTTATAAACTCTGACCAACCCAGAACTCAATTCACAGGACCTACCATTTCTTTTCTCAATTCAGGACATGACTTGCACACAAGCAAGTCTTGATTTTGTTGTCTCCTCTTCTGTCATATTCTTTTATGTGCTTCATCACAGTAGCTTTTTTAGTTAACTTCGTGTTTTTCTACCTTAAACCAATTTATCGAAAATTAGGAATCTAAAATATGTAAAGTGTCTCTGCGAATTGCGGTACTCATTGCTGACCACTTTTGATATGGAGTCGAGTTACTATTGGGTTCTACACTTGAGTGTTTCGCTTTGCTTTGCGACGGAAAATCTAAATCATCTTTTATTGTAACACTAAAATGTGACATACTATTATCATCCACAAAATGTTGATAAGGTGTATATTTTGACAAATTTTAAGATTTAAGACCAGTGTTTTTTCTTCATTAACAGTAAAAACCTTATTCTAGTTATGTAGGTCTCCCATTATTGTGTGATTGTCAGTTTTATAGCTGAAAAGTGAAAACTTAAATGTCCAATTGAATGAGGTTTCTTCTTGGTTTAAAGAATGTCCATAATCTTTAACTAACTTTACGTACACTTAAACGATGCAAAGCTACAAAGACCAGAAAGTTAAATTTCTATAGGTTAATATTAATACTACTAACTAGTACTTCCTCCGTTTTAATATAGTTGTCGTTTTAAGACTTAATTTTTGTTTTCTAATAGTTGTCGTTTTAGGTTTTCAATGTAGATGTTCGGTAAAAATTTCAGTTTTATCCATATTGTTTTAATGTTTTAACCAATGAAATTTTTTATAAATATATTAATAAAGGATAAAACATAACAATCAATGGTTTTCTCAATGTGTGAGAAAACCTTAAACGACAACTAAAACGAAACGGAGGAAGTAATAAAATAGTTTCGATGATGGTAATTAATGGTCAACGACAAGGAAAATCCCTCGGCCACGAGCTTCAATTTACAACTAAAATTTTTTCAACAAGAGAAATTAAATAGCGACAGCTGTTTAGTAGAGAAGCAAGTCTTAAAAACCTACTAATTAATTAGTAATTAACTAGTTAAATTTTGTTGCTAGCCTGTACATATCCAGAGTAATCAAAGCAAAGCAAATTTAACCACGTTCTTTCTTTCTACGGGTTAAATATAGCAAACCACCCAAACCCAAACCCGAAAACAAACAACTAAAAATGTAAAAATAATTAACAAGATTGACCATCGGTGTAACAACGAAGTCTCTTCACGGGAAAATCATGCCGGAAACCACCGTGAGAAGTGGCGGCTCGCCACTCTTCCACTAGCAAAGCGTCCAGCTCCACTTGATCAACGGCTCCAGTCGCAGCTCCAAGCAACTCGGCGAACCCACCGACACGTCCCGGAGGTTTGGACTTTCGACGACCGGCACCGACGGGAACATTCCGGAGAGCTCCACCGGCGGTCCAGTAACGCTGACAACCTTTGCAGAAGTGTCGTGGTTGATTAACGTTGTAGTTATTGAAGTAACAGAACTTAGTCTCCATGGACTTGCATCTCGGACATGGGATGATCTTGTCTGGACGCTTCTCAGCCGTCAGATCCGACGATGATGATCTAACGGGTGTTGTTGCTTGTAACTCTGGCTGTTGTTGTTGCTGCTCTTCTTTTTTAACTGTCTGTGTGATGTTGGCGTTGAATGTTATGGTTTTGCCAAAGAGTTTAATCCCTTGAGAATCTTGGGTCGCCATTAAAAATGAGAGAGAGAGAGAGAGAGACAAAGAAAGAAGAGAGTTGTGATTAAGTTTCTTGCAGTGATGAAAGAGAGAAGAGACGTTTATAGGAAGGATTTCAATCTTTTTTTTTTTTTTTGTAAAAAGATTTTGTGAATTTTTTTTTTATTATATCTTTTTCGTAGGAAAGGAGAGAAAAGCAATAGAGAGAATATTAAAAAATATGAAAGAATATGTTAGGCGCATTTATTGCTTATTGCATTCAAAGAAATATCGATCCATATATCAATCAGCTGACAAAATGTGTGTATTCTTTCTTCTTTTACCTTTTCTCCAAAATGTATGTATTTTAGTACAGTACTCCATTGTCTTTCCGTATATTTTATAAAAGGTTATTAGGAATAGTGATGTTAAACATATTTGTTCTAATATTTACATGACTTTTTTCAATCACAATTTATGTATATTCTATTTATTTTTCAATTTACCCTCTTTGCTAATACTATCTTTAAGTCACTACCAATAAATGAATTATGCGGGATACTTCTTATTGTTTTAGTTGTCAGCTAAACTTGCAAAAATTTAGAACATCATGATTTCATATGAAGAGAATGAGCTTTATTTGGTTGCATCAAACAAGTTAAAATTTTGGACTTGGGTAAAAATGGCTTTGATAGGTTTAACTAATTCATACAATATTTTTGAGATATTATTAAATATCTTTAAAATGATGTTTGTATGTGTCAACAGTGATTTGGAAGGGGTACGTATGTTTAGTGGCTAATTCTTAATATTTTCTGAACTGGGGCTGTCACAAAAACAAAATAAATATCACATTCAAAACCTAATTATATTATCCATATAATATACTATTATCCCCTTATAAATTTGCATATGCATCATCTATTTCTCCTTATTTTCATCGTTGGCTAACATTTTTGGATGATTAAAATCTTTGGAAATATGAGTAGAGAGCAATTTGATTGAAAGAATTACGTTCCTTTCTATTTTATGATTTTAGATAAACATGAGAATGATACATCACTATATTTCATTGAATCATATTTAAGTGAGAAAGATTTGGATATGGAAAAAGCCGCCAAAGAGAGGGCGTTTTTGGTGTGTTGCGTAGAAAAGGAGAAGAGATGAATAAGCATAAGCATGAATGAGTAGAGGGATCAGCTTTCAATTCAAGGCTCACATCATCTTTTGGGTCCCCTTTTCCAAGTCATCCTTCCATTTTCTTCATTTGTTTATTTCTTTCGAATAAATATAGTCCCTTTTTTTTTTAATAATAATATACTTTTTTATATAAAATAATATAAGCAGAGTTGGATCTATATTAATTAAGTTATGAAATACAAATTATGTCAATACCTATTACAACAAAAAAATAATAATCTTTTGATACGATGCGTAATTTTTTTTTTTTTTTATCATCAAGATGCACTATATTAGATTTAAATTTATGTTTAAAAACTAGTAGACTTTACATGTCATGGTCTTGTGCGGATTGCAATTTTTATATTCGAAAGTATACGTCATATATATTGAAGTGAATGATCTAATTTATATTTTTGAAACTACAATAAAACTAAAAAAAAATCAAAATTAATGTTAAATTTGAATTCATCTTTTCAAAGTTTTGAAGATCTTACAAGGGTGTCATTTATGTTGGGATTAAACATCTGATTTGATGGAGAGAAACCAAGAATTTGGATTTTGATGTTTGAGGTTTTTTTTGTCAACCAAAATATTAAATTAGAAAATAATTTTGGAATTGATTTTGCAATCCGAAAAAATTGAACTTATAATAGTAGTATATGCAAATCTAATTCTTGCTGCTCGAACAAGATTATGTTATACCAAAATGGAACATCTATCCCCTCTTAGCAGTCATGGATAGTGATGAAATTGGACTACTATATGATTTGTGCAATTTGGTTTTGATCGTTTAGTAGAATGGTTGAGTGGATATTGCCTTGGAAAATTCACATAAAGATAAGCAAAGCATGTTTCTTTAAATTAACATTTCACGTACGTTTATTAAACACTAAAGCAAGTGTTAAAGATGAGAGAAAGGGAAAAAAAAGAAGAGGAAAAGAAAAAGGAAAAGGAAAAGCACTAATCGATGTTCATGTTTCTCTTTTTTTCTTCTCAAATTCGCGCTTTTATACTATATGTTTTCTCATTGGTACCTTTATACTATATAGTCGCAAAAGAACAACTTTTAAGTACTTTTAAAAGAGATCGACTTTTTTAGTTATATAAATTAAAGATAAATTTAATAGACATACACAAAAAGGGAATATAAATGTGCGTATATATTTACGTAGACGAAGAATTTCATCCATTGTGCTATTTTTTGCAAATTGATAATATATTCTGATTTTAAACAGTTGTATTCATATTCCTCTAAAGGCGATTAGATTTATGTTTATGGCCAAATCAGAATTAAAATAAAATTAAGACTGTTCACATCTGCATGTAGGTTATACGACAATTTTTGGTAATACAACGCAACTGCTTTATTTTTTCTATAATCATGTAAGAAAAATCATGTCAATATTATATTATACGGTTTTGTGTATACACTACGAAGTCGTAGTGGCAATGCAATGTGGGATTAATTAACTAATTGTAGATACTTCTTCATTTTAGAATTGTAATCACATTTTCGAATATATATGGAGTACTAAGACATATTAAATTGCGTGCTAGATTTTCTCAAATATATGCATAGTTGAATATTATGTATATATATTATATACTATACATGCTTGTATATATATATATAGACACATGTAATTAGTTGTACCTTGTAAAGGTGGATTATCTTTTCTTAGGCCATTTTTTCTTCTTTCTTTAGGGTTTCAATGGATTTGGTGACTAACTTTTGTTGGTTGCCCATTTTTTTCTTTTCTCCTCTCAAATCTTAAACTTTTCAGTATGTGCTTCTTTTGGGTTCTGAAAATTCACTTTATAAAAAAAGCTCTCTTTACAAAGGAAAGCAAAGTCTTTTATATGGGTTTTGTCCTTTAATCCTATCTTTAATAAAGTGATTTGAAATTAATTAGGCGAATAAAGAAAATGAATTATTAACTTTTTCTCTATACTATCTATTATAGAGATATGACTCGTACTTAATTTATTGATCTTATATAGGATAAATTATCCATTTATATTTGAACTTGTCAGTTATGCTCACATATATAGAAGATATATTTTTAATTAATTAGAGCATATGACTGGGAGATATCATCTAATAGTTCATATGTATATACTAATATTGTAGGTTTAGTAGAACCTCTATAAACTAATACTCGATAAATTAATAAACATGATAAATTAATAAATTTTGCCTGTCCCGAGTCGGGCTAATGTAAAAATTAACTAAATTCGATAAGATAATAAGATAATAATTTTTTTGAAGTCTCTATATAAAAATTCTCAATAATATCATAAATTAATAATCATGTAAACTTGTATATATATATATATATATATATATTAGTGTTTTCATAAAAATAGCCAATATTTATTTTCAAATTTTGAATATGCATAATTTTTGTTTTAATAGTCGTATAAATTTTTTAAATACAACTATAGCTATATCATATATGTCATTATTTATAAATTCTGATTTATGTAAATCGTTTATATATGTAAATTCTATAATTTTTGTTATTCATTGTCAAAAAAAAATTGTTTTCTCTTCGAAATATTAAATGTTTAAGTCTAAAACTATAAAATTTCTAACATCCAAAACATTAGTTTTATTTAGATCACATTGTTTTCCCTCATGGTTTTAATTTTTTTTTAACAATTAAAACAAAACTTTCTATAAATTAATATCACTATAAATTAATAAAATATCATGGTTCAAACATTATTAATTTATAGAAGTTTTACTGTATATTACTATCCGTATTCAAACTCGTATAACATATGTCGTCCAAATATAGAAATATTTAGTTTGTTGTCCCACATAAAATGTAATTAGCTCTATAAACGTATGGTTAGGGTTTAAAAGGTAAACATATTGATATTAATAACAAAGTTTCTTTCGGAGGGTTGCAACTTTCAATACTAATGGTTTCATATTGCACAGTAAAAAAGAGACATCCATACAATTAATAAAGTCAATAATGTTTGATTATTGCTAGATAAAGTGGAATAAATAAACTTTATACGTGTTTAGTTTCATTGGGAAAAAAGGGGTACTTTTCCTTGAGGGTACATGCTTTGGAAATCTTTACTTTCGATTTAGAATTTCAACTTAAAGAAGAAAGAAAGGAAGGAATTGAGGAGAATTATTTAAAATTTTAAACTTCGAATTTTGGAAATTTGAAATACTCATTACTCGGTTTGGGATTGAACCCGAGACCTAGCTAATGTACGTAGGATACTAAGTTCTTGATCAATCATTAAACATGCACTTTCAACAACAACAACAAAAGATATGTAGACATAATAATGTTGTATGTTTCTATCATTCAGCTGAACTTATAATTTTGTCATCCATACTTGTATATAGTTCAATAATATTTTCCACAAAACAGTCAGTTCAATTTCCCATCACATGTCCACAAGCAAATTTATAAGATTTAATATTCGATATTAATAAATGCGAGACAGGCATTAAGAAATTAATACAGTACATAAATAACATAATCTCTATTATTTTAATCTTTTGATTCAAGTGGCAAATAAGTACTAGTATAAGATAACAATTAAAGACCACAGCGTAAGCGAACTTCACGGCTTAAGTGTTTTGAGACATCTACTTGCCAACTCACTTTTTGATGTTTCTTTAAACTTTTTAATATCAAATCCATTAAATTTTTATAATACTATAAGTATTTTCTCCTTCAATCTTTTTAAACTGTGCGATTGCTTCAAGAATCGATAGTACAGCTGACACAAAACTGATCCTCTTCCATATAGTTCAGAAATCGAATAGAATATATTATATATATATATATAATATATATTTTTAATGCATTTCAAACAAAAATTATCTATTATTTTCCACTACGTATGATTAACGTAACATAGTAGCTTATATATTTTAATATCTTCATTTCGTGGAGATATATATCACGTACGACAAAATTTACTTATCAACTACACAATAAACACATGAGAAATTCGCCACAATAAGAATTACTTGCATAACAAGATTAAACCCTTTTCTAGGTTGTCTCTCCGCAAGATAAGGTGTCGTGCATAGAGTGATTTAGAGAGGAGAATTAGAATCTTAATTAATTAAGCAAATATCAATCAGATTTACTTTGGATAGAATTAAGAGATTATTAGAAGATTCACCTAACGTATAAAGTTTTCAAATCTCCGAAATCAAGATGATCTTAATTTTTATGGTAGGGCACGTCGCTGTGGCAACCACGAGTCTCAGGTTGAATTGATGTTTATGCTATGGAAGAAATCAAGAATGCAATTAAAGATGATATAACACATCAAGAATCCAAATACTTTTATGCTTTTCATGAGAAGAATCGATTACACTGACTTGTGTTCGGATTTGATGATGAAGTATCCAGTTTTGGTCTCCTTTTCATTGGCATTTTGTTTATCCTCCCTGACAATATTCTTTAGATGGACCTATGAGAACATATTCTTCTCATTCGTAACTTCAAAATAAATAAAAAACCTTGAAATTTATAGAATAACCGGAAACGTGAATCGTGTGTTAATTTGTTTTGCTATTGGCGACTTGCTTTGGTGGTTATATCAAATCCACTTCTTTTCACTTAATTACATGGCTACTCGATCTCTATCGTAAGTCAAATGTTGTTTATAGAATTTAGTGGTACTATAAACAAAACCAACCTATGGCTATAACCATGATTGTTTTTTTGTTGCTATAGCATAAAGTCACTAGTTTAAGTTTAGCCCTCTATAGTCATGAAAATATTTTGTAGCTAGGAGCTCGTGGTTACATTAAATCTGTGGTTATTAGTAGTGGCCACTGGCCATACAGCAATAGATCAGTATGGGTGCGATTTGTGTTTGATGTGTTAAGTGCTTTGTAGTATCTCATTGTCACCGTCGGCTAAAATCACAAGTTCTAGAATGTTTTCCTCAAGATGAATGAGCATAATAGCTTTTACTTTTATTTCTTGAACTACTTTATTTTCTTGAAGATAGAGATCACACACTACAAAATTTACATATCACCTACAAAATCCACACATTAGATATGATACAAAATGAAAAAATGCTTGCAGGACTAGCTTGAACCCTTTTCTACATGTATGTCGTTCAGAGAGTAGATTACAGAGAAGAAATGGAATCTGATCAGAAGGGGTTTTACGTATCGCTCCATGTATCACTTTCATCTCCCTCTTTGCTAGCTACAGCCTGAAAAGAAGAAGAGAAAGTGAGTGATAGTTAATGTTGTGTTGGATTTACGACAAAAAAGTACTTAGATTCTGAAATAGAGATAAGATTTGCTTTGGATATATATAGATGCAGAATTTAGAGGATGAACCTGGCGTATTGAGTTTGCTTTCTCCAAAATCGCGCTGATCTTAGTGTTTATGATAGGGTCAGTTGTTGCAGCAGCCGATGATGTCGTTGTCATGACCACAGGTCTCAGGTTGAATTGCTGTTTATGATTTGAAAGAAACCAAGAATGTATCAAAAAGATGATATAACAAATCAAGCATCAGAATATAACTTTTTCACAAAATAGAATTATTTGCACTCACTTGTGTTCGGATTTGTTGCAAGAAGTCTCCAGTTTCAGTCTCCTTTGCGTTGGCACTTTGTTTCTCCTCCCTGACATTATTCTTCAGATGGACCTATGAGAACATATGCTTGTTAAGATTCTTAACTTGAACTATATTGAAAACGATTTTCTGGAATATATGGAACTGACCCACACCTGTACTAAAGTAGGAAGAAAAAAGAGTGCAAAACTTCTCCGTACCTTAATTTCTGGTTTAGGGGCAGAAGTCACCATGCTAGGCAGCTCTTTCTTCATTGTAGGCAATGAAATATGCTTCTCAAATGCGAACCTGATAGCGTCTTGTAGTTGTAGGGACTGTGTTTTGTCTTCAATTTTCTCTGAAGGTGTCTTTGAAACCATCCATTGCACGGGCGGAAATGGCGGTGGCAAGGGCTCTGCAGGATTTTGGAGGTATGAGAAGTTTACGGCCACACAACCACTTTCTGATTTGATCCCTAGAGGAGAAGCTTCAGCATTGTTATCAATATGCCTACTTTCGTGGAAAGAATCATATAGTTCTTGTTCTTTTCTTCCATGGCTGTCACTGGATTCTTCCCACTGCTCAGAATATGACAAGGAGTGATTATCGCTAAGATAATCAGTATCTGACATGTAAGGAGAGGATCTACAAAAAGTGTCGTCGTCGTCGGAATACGAATCTGGAAGGAAAGTTGCAGCCTCTGGAAGCAACTGGAAGGAAGAAAAGGTATTGTAAGTGTTGTTCCCATCTGAAAATTTAAGCTTCAGTCTGGAAGCCTGAAGAGTGTCAGCGGGATTGAGAGATATTTTCATGTGTTGAAGAGGCGGAGACGAAGTAATCCAATCAATGGGAGCTTCGTTCCTGAAGGGATCCACAAAGGTTTTGTCATCAATATCTTGGTCACAAAACCTCCTCCTCTCTGTAGTCACTTCATCGTTCTCTGGAATGGTTGCTGGTACAGTCTTTCTATCATGGGCAAATGAATCCTTTCTGCGGAAACCATTAGTGAGTAACCTGTGGCTGAGTCCAAAAACTCCGGAAGAAGTCTCATGGGACTCTCTTTGGTCTACAATACCCAGGGCCATGCCACTTGAACTAATTGGATTTTGGGTTCCTGGTGTTGCTAAGCTTGCATTATTCAGAACACGTCTATGTGAAGCATTTTCAATTAGATCATCTGATTTATCTTTTCCAGCTTCTGCAAAACCAACTGTCCTTTCCCCGGTCTTGCAATCTGGACTTAATGAACTTTGCACTGCCAAGACTGGAGGTTTCGATGGTTTAAGTCCCAATAGACCCCCATTAGTCCATATTTTAATGGCTTCGAGATCACCAGAAGATTCAGCTTCTGGTTCTTGATTTTCCTGTAGGCCATGATGAATCAAGGGGTTTGATGAATCAGCTAAGCTGTTCTCAAGACCTGGCACAAATGTAAATGTGATGATATCTTTTCCACCAGAATCGTTACGCATATCCTTGTTTGCACAAAGATCATTTTTTTGTAAGCGGTTGATATCTGAACCCACCTGTGGATTTTTTTGATGCATTTCATCAGCTACATTTGCTGACGATGCATTCTCTTCATTTTTAAAACCGTTGGCTATAAGCCCATCCATTGATCTGTAAGAATCTTCGACACTGTAGCAATTCTGCTCTGTTTTTTGTTCACACACCGACTTTTCCAACATCTCATCTGCAACACCACAGGAACTGCTTACTTGACTAGTTTGATGCCCCTGCTTGTTTTCAGATTCTGATTCGATAGTATTAAGCGCATCAACAAAACAGTCCCCTTCGCTTTCAGTCTCATGTTCACTATCCCTCGGTTCTCCCACAATCTCCCGGACAGTTTTTATTCCTCTTACCTCATCAATCCCAGTACATTTTTGTAGTCCTGATTCTGATTTATCATTTTCAATGTCCTTAGAATGAAAATCAACTCCACCAGTCCCTCCATAGCTTGGTTTCTCATCTGGTTTATCTACAACAGGGTTCGTCTCCATCATTTCAGAAGCCTCCTCTGTCTGCAGACCAAGAGATTCCACTATCTCTACTTTCTCATCCCAACTAACGCAAGAAGAGCCACGAGCAGCTTGCCCTTGAGAAGGACTAAACTGGAAATTATCATGAGCATCTTCGGTTTCACATTCAGAAAGGACTGAAGCGATAGTGCAAGAGCCCGGTGTCAAGCTGGATGAAACGAACACTCCTTTTGGTCTTTCTCCAGTCTTCAATGAAGAGGTTGCGGTTGAAAGGCATTCGTTGTAGCCTGAACCACTTCTGGACTCAAAAGAGCGAGAATGAAGATCTTGAAAATCAAATCTTTTTTCCATGTCACTAGTTGAGGTGGTTTTGGTAGAAGAGGTTCGTCCACTGAAGCTAAATGAAGTAAATGTCTTCCTGGAGTGAAATATGTCTGAGTTAATCATTCTTTAGGTGCACGGAAACTTAAATATGCCAATAAAATCAATAATTTACCTGGCATTTTGGTTAGCCATGGAGGCCAAACGTGACATATCTCGACTCCTTGACGAAGTTTTTTTCTTCTGTCCATGCCAGAAAACAGATATAATTGTCAAGTAAAAGAGAATTCTACAGAAAAAGGTATACCAATTTAATCTGAGAACCACACCTTCATTTTACAAAGGTTTTTATCTTTTTGGATCTTCTTGTTTCCTTGAATCAGGTTGCTTGATGCTCTTCTAAAATAAGTAGGATCGGAGTATCGCTTCAAGCAAGATCCAGGACCATTTATATCAAATCTGAGGAAATAAAGCAAAGAATCAGTGTAACATGATGGATTATAGTACATAGTACATTCATATCAGATATAAATATTTTAGCTTGAGGCATACTTATCAAGCAAGTGCAACCGTGGAGGATCCCTGCACTCTTCATAGGGATCCATGATAATGTGAGGCAAGTCGTCGTAAATTAAGTAATTTTGCGTAATTGGTATACGAAGATGCCACTCCAGACCTGAAAACCCCCATTAAACTCACTCACTTTACAAGATAACAAAAGTAAAAACCAAGCACTGAGTGACCACTTTCTCACCTTCCATAACTCACGGTTTTAAAACAATAAAAAAGTTTTGCTAAGAGAAACCAAACAACTATTACTGACAGTTCAATTTAAGTTAAATCTATTCTAAAGTTTTGCAGAAGATATAACTAACTCAATCATTCCAGATTCTAAACTAGCCTTCACGAGGGGAAATTTAGTATCAGGGTAAGTCAAAAGGCATATGAACTGGGCCTACAATGAACTAAGTGGATGACATTTTTAATTAACATAATAAATGTGAAACCTAACAAGAATCAGACACCTTGGGTCAAGACAATAAGAAGATTGACAAGAGAGAACAAGACAAAAAACCTCCTGTGTATGCAAAATGTATATGAGTTGTCTGTGCAAGCATCGCCTTTTCTAGTGGAGGCACTGTAGCTTCTATATGCTGCAATCTGATTTTCAATTGATTGCTTCTTGAAGCTGTAGCCATAACTTCCTCCTGTATCCCATGAAATATCTCTGCTGCAAACCTTAATCAAGAGAAAGAACAATCCTTAAGAAAGTTTCTTCCTTCGTGCTAAAGATGACCCTTTTGAACCAGAGACCACTCCAAACACAAACTAAGCTACACAGAAGCTTGATACTAAAGCCGACACAAAGAGACACCACATGTGGAGTTGTTCAGAAGCATAAAACTAAGCTAATGAAACAAAGCCAAACACAGCAAAGATGGAAAATGATTGATAGAAACAGCACAACATTCATAGAGAGAAAGGCAAAAGAGAACAAAATGAAGAAAGCTTGTTCCTTTTTGCTAAACCTTAACTCAAAAACTTCAAAGGATCATGCAAATCACAATGGGTTCCCAAATTTGCCCCTACAAACACCAATTAGATACCTTAAACAAGTAAAGGCAATTACTTTCATGCAAAGTAGTGATTTTTCATCTTTAACTTCACCATTAGCTCAAAGAATCATTTCAACAGTAGAGATACCCAAAAGAGACGCAACTTTTTTTTGAAGAAAAGAAAAAAAAAAAAAACAGAAATTGAGAGCTCGAATTCAATACATACTCAGCGAGATCACCAAGCTGACGCAAGATCCCAACAAGTCCAGTAACTGCAACACCATTGAGAATTGCTTTGGGGTCTTCACGATCGACATTTCTATAAACCTCCGTTTGGTTCATACCGTATACATTCCGTGGCATTTTTTTCTCTATAAATCAAAGTACAAAACCGTCACACATTGAGATAAAACTGTTGTGTCTAAAGCATGAACAGAGCTGGGAAAAGGATTTGGAGAAAGAATCAAAAGGGGTTTTTGAAGAAACTGAGAAATGGGTTTTGATGAAAACAAGAAAAGGTTAATGATTGTTTATGGGTTTCTGGTGAGTGAGATTGATGAGGCAGCTTAACTGCTCAAAACAGAGAGGGAAATTTTGGAGGCAGAGAGGGAAAGAGACTGTGAGAGAGAGAGAGAGAGAGAGAGAGAGAGAGACATTGACATTGCCGATATCTCAAGCCATTCCTTTCCGTTTCATTTAACAGAGGGGTTTACAGAAGAGTAGATTGACCGAATTACCCTTGTGGTTTGTGTGCTATTACTTGATGGGATTTTGACAAAATAAAAAGAGGATTGCAATTACGTTATTGGTTCGCACGATTTATCAAACATGGATTGCTATTGGGCTTATGAACGTTAAATTCTAACTCTGATTACAGAATAAAATGCTCGATTTTGTAATTAAAAAATAAAGTGTTTTCGAAAAAATTAGTAGTATGCTTATTTTGCTATAAAAAAAAAAAAGTGAGAGAATGTCCATGTCAAATAAGTGTTGCGTTAAGATTTGTTGTTATTTAAGTAGGACAAAAAAACAAATTCCAACTTAAATAACAACAAATCTTAAGGTTTTGTTGCTATTTAAGGAGGACAAAAAAACAAATTCCTACTAGTGCTACAACATAGTAAAAGATGAATTTTGCCTTTGTTGTTTGTTTTCTAAATTGAATGATTAGGAAAAAAAAAATCATTGGTAAAAGCAGCATTTCCTTCATCGTTTAGTTTGAACACCATCAAAACTTTTCGTTTGCACATGTTATATCTTTGATTCTGTTGTTGTACCATTTGACCAGTAAAGTTTCATCTGCTAGGGACTCCAAGTGTTCAGTCATGTAAGGTGAACCAATAACCTCTGGTCCTCTGCTATCGTCTTTGTGAACATGATAAGAATTTTGAAAATATAACTTCTGCTAAGCCTGGGCATTTGGGTACCCGTTCGGGTTCGGTTCTTTTTTTTTCGAGTATCGGGTCTATCGGGTAGGAGGTCGAGACCCATTCGGCTATTTTAAAAACTCTGTTCGGGTTCGGTTCGGGTTCGGGTCGGTTCGGGTATTTTAATAAAAAAGCAAAATACCCGAAAATAACCAAAAATACCTGAAATATTTTTGGGTTCGGGTCGGGTTCGGGTTTTTTACTCGTATATACCCAAATCTAACCGAAATACCCGATTTCTCAAAAATACATTGGTTACTCTTTGCCCAAATATAACCAAAAATATCTAAAAATACTAAAATTACCCAAAAGAAAACTACATCATTAGTTACTTTTAAACCAAATATATCCAAATGTATCCGAATTACTCAAAAATACCTAGTATATTCGGATTTATGATTGTAATTTTAGGTATTTCGGATATTATAAGTATAAATATAACTAATATTTTAGGTGTATATTTGTATTCGGGTACCCACGGATATTGGATTCGGTTCGGGTTTTTTCGGGTAGGAGGTCTAAGATCCATTCGAGTATTTTTAAAAATCGGTTCGGATATTTTGTCGGGTTTTTTGGTTTGAGTATTCGGTTCCGGTTATTTTGCCCAGACCTAAGTCTTCGGCAACTTGGGGTTGTTATTGTGCCGGGAAATCCTAGGATTCAATTTGATTGCCTTCATAAGCGAGCAAAAAGAACATATGGGAAGTGAAGAAATTGGGGTCTACAATTGTGATGTTGGTCCAATCAGAACCATGAGAACAAATTTAACATAAAAATAAAACATATGTTAGGGATAAATTAAGAGAAATTGCATTGTATAACCATAAAAAAACTATAATTTAATAAGTAACTATAACAAAAAATGGCTATGATATATCTTGTATAAACTGTAATATTGACCATCTTAACCCTGCCATCTGCTTCCATCTGCCATCTGCCACTTGTCTTCATTTCTCTAGCAATAAAACATTATAACAATATTCTTTCTTTCTCTCTCTCAATTTATGTTGTATTACACATACATAATCACTTGTTCAAATTCCAACAAAAAAAAAAGTCACTTGTTCAAATCTCTCCTATAACAACTAATTACATGTATTTTAAATAGAAACAATTATTGTTCACTTTTTTTACATATTAGTTTTCATGTTTCATCCACATATGCATAGAACGGTAATTCAATATTTTTTTTAAATGTGTTAAGTTATTATTATTCAAACAAATGAGGGAGACAAAAGTCTGACATGTGGGCCGGTTTCTCTCTCTTTCAAACGACCATGTAGTCACTTTTGAGGGTAAATTCGTCCGATTGAAGCTCAAATGGCTACTTGCTTTGTTTTGAGACTTATATGGCTATATTTTTAATTTTTTTGTCTAATATGGTTATTCAGCTAATTGACCCATAAATTAACATAAGATATTAGAACAAAACAAAAAAACTCTGGATTGCTAAGGAGAGCATCTGTCCGACGATTTAAGATGCAGCGGTCGAGGCCGAGAAGTAGAGACATGGTAGACGTTCTTAGGTAGTGATGATGACACAAAACCCTAACTCAAAAATCCTACATTAGTAAATAAAATTGTTAGAGTTGGTTATATGTTGAATACAAAGATCCAATGAGATGCACATATACAAATAGTACGTTTTAGTATGATACTCCTTCCGTTTTATAATTATAAGTTGTTTTAGCTAAAAATACGTAGATTAAGAATAACTACTTTTATCAGCGAATTATAAAAGAGACTGTAAATATAAATAATCATAATATTAAAATAATATATAATATATAATTTGCATAGAAACTTGAAAATAATTTATATTATAAAAAAAAAATTTATCTAAAACAACTTATATCATGAAACAGAAGGATTATAAGAAATGTAGATAATTTTAAATTGTAACAGTGGAATTCCACATTCATAATTCTTGTCCATCACAATAATTTGGTATCCATTTATTTTTGTAACTGTTTCTTGTCACTTTAGTTATTAATGTTTTAATTGACCATTGAGTAATATTTGTTTGAAAGATTGATGAATTATGATTATCAAACCAAAAATATGCCTCTTATCGATAAACAGACTTACAGAAATAACGCAAGTGAGTCAAATATGACATTTTGTTTGTGGAACCAGTTTGATAAATGTGTCTCTCTCAAAGTTAAGAACTTAAGATCAGGCAAAACTATTTGTTTGTGTGTTAATGAAACTGAGTAACACGTGTTGAATATGGAAAGAGATAATGGCTTTCCCTCAATTAATCTAGAGATTAAAATATCATAATATACAGATTACAATTTAAAATGGAGTAAAACACATTTTAAGCACAACATGTGACAAAAATGCTAATCTACACTATTAATTGGGAATCACTAGATATAAAATAACCTTATGAAGTGTAAAATATTACATAAGATGCCATTAGCTTTTAGTGTTTTAAAATAAATTCATTAATGGTATAATAGTAATCACAAAATTAATATATTTAAATAAATTATACTAAAATTTTTTAAATAATTATTAGTTTCCAAAAATTAAACTCACTATCTCTCTTATTAATTATGGACGAAAATATAAAATTATTTTCTAAAAAATTGTTAAAACCAATGAGAAATTGAAAAACTAAGATTTTATATCTAACTAAAATCTTATCTAAACTAATCCTAATAGACTATTCTATATCAAAAATAAAAATAATAACATTTTAATCCAAAATCAAAAACACTATCGTTTAAAAAATTTTATCAATGGAGGATTTTAACATTGAATTTGAACTTTCATTAAAAATTAAATAAAAATATTTTAGGATTTAGTTTTGTTATAATATCTTCACAAATTTTGACCTATAAAACGATATTTTATTTCACAATTCTAAAAGACGATATTAGATATTAACAAATATTTATATTTACTATGAAATACACTCAAATAATAATAAATTTAAAGAATTATCATTATGGTCTTCGTTTAGAGCAAGTTTCAGAAATATCTAAACAATACATTGTACATATTAATTTTGAAATATTTTGTGTTTTATTTTTTTCCTTCTCAACTCGATTTTCCTTCTTCACACAGTTTTCGAAATAATGTAAACTAATTATATATTTGCATTCAAAATAAGTTACGCAACAATAGCAGATCCTTTTCACAGATGTATCTCAAATTTTTATTTTTAGTCCAAAAATTAAATTAATTATGATTAAAAAATGAAAAGAAGAATATGCAAAATTTAGCTAAGGAAAAAAACATTAATAAATTTGTTAAAGTATATTTGTAACTTTAACAACATACATATTAATCCGCAAAACTCATAATATATATTGTATGGTATTTAAAGGTAAGCAAACAAGAATTTGGAACATGATTTTAATGGAATAAAATGAGAATAGAAATTACGAGACGGGATGAGAGAGAATCATAATAAAAATCAAACTAAATACTCAACTGGTATGAGTTCGAGTTATGTGTACTATATAAAATAAATTTGTTTGCCATAAAAAAAAATTGTTTACACACATAACCATGTACGTACGTTTTCAGTTATACATATTCTATTTATGATGGATACGGGACCGTAATATTTTTATTTCATGTATACGAGATGGGTTATGGGACGAAGAATTTAAGAATTCATATCCTATTTAATACCTGTAATCAAACTGATAGAAATATTTTGATTAGTTTAGAAAATAAAAACGTAACATCACTTAACTTTTGCAATTAACTTATATCTCAATTTTATCTTAAATATAATTTCGCACGTACATGTAGGTCCGGATCTTAAAATATAATTATGCACTAACGCAACTGAATTTCGTTCATTACTCTAACTTTATAATATCTATTTACGAAGTTCACCAACACAACAAAATATTTTATATTTTTAAAATCTATATAATAATTTCTATAAAAATATCCTTGCACGTACGTGTGGATTCAGATATAATATATCATAAAATAACAAAATAATTTATATTGAATTAAGAATTTTTATTAAAATATGAAACCCCGCACGTATGTGCGGGTCATTATCTAGTTTGAAGTTACATCACTTGTTGTCTCTCCTATTCACACTCGATAAGCAACTTTAAAAGTTCGAAGTTACAATGTCATGTCCTCAGTGCCGGCCCAGATAAATATGAGGCCCCATACAATTTTTTTTTTTTGGGTTTTATCTATAAATGTTAAATTTTGAGATCAACTCTTAAAAATTCTGAAAAATGAGGCCTATTTTTGCAATAATAAATAGATAAAATTTAAAATTTGAGATAAAATCTAAAACTTTCTAAAAACTGAGGCCTATTTATGCAATAACAAAAAAAAATTGGGGCCTAATTTTGGTACTAAAAATCTTCAAAAAATTTTGAAGCCCAATATCCATGTATCTTGAAAATAGGTCACGGGCCGGGCCTGCATGTCCTATAGTTTAAATCTGTCCGATATCTCTCCAAAAATTCTATAATCTTAAGTAAAATTGTGCATGATTTTAGTTATTATTTTAAAATTCATGAATCCACAAACACCACAATAATAATATCGGGCTACATTGCTTTTACTAGAATGTCAATTTGTATAATAAAAGTCAATTTGTATAATAAATAATTATTACACACGACAACGTTTCACTTTTAAAGACCTTTATCCTTTCAAGGCCTTAGCTCTTTGAGGAATATCGTCGAACACTTGGGATGAAGAAAACAAACGAATGCCTTTCTTTTGTATCTGCTGAAACAAAGTAAGTAAGAGAGATATCAAACACAAATTTGAAGCAATCTCAACCCTTTAATCCTTATCATTGTTCCTTTTGTTTGTCTCAAGATGTCGTTATTTAAGAGACTCACCTAAACTCTAATTTCTTAAGTAGTACAAAATTGCGATCTTTCTTCTAACCTAACTAAGACGTTACAAACCAAACAAAGAAAGGAACAGAGAACGTTGCATTAGAAGCCGAGACATTGGAAGCGCAAAACTCTCTCAAAATTCAATCGCAAAATTGAAGTGCTTCAATATGAAGGAAGGAAACTAAAGGGAGAATGATGAAGACGGTGGAATTGATGTCAAACTCGTCGGATTTTTTAGTGCAGTCAACGAGCCAAAAAGAAGTCTAAGAAGAGTTGTGTTGTGACTCTAGTCACAATAAACTAAGTTAAGAAGTAATGTGCCATTAGTTTGGTTAGGCCAATAAGAAAGAGTGTTTTGTTAGTTAAAGACTAGCTAAATTTGAGTGGTTAAGAGTTGTTATTGTTTAAAGTAAGGTGTTTAACTTTGTAAAACCAAGTCTAGTATTTGAGGTATGAACTAGTGGTAGTTGTTAAGGTTTAAGTTTGTGTGTAGTAAGTAGTGAAAAGCTTCTATAAGTATGTATGTTTGTGGTGTTGTAAAAAGAATCCAAGTATCATCAAGGTAAGAAATCAGTTCTTTATCTCTTTAGGTCAAAAACATTTTTCGTGTTTATGTTTAAACAGGGGCTGAAACAGAGAGAATTCAAATTTGCAACTAGTAAGGACTTAAGGAGAGGTTCAACAGAGAAAGAAATGGCTGCATACCTCACATATACAAACACTTAACATGAGAGCTGGACCAACCAATTCTGGAGCCCTATTATATTTTTGCCAAAATAACAATAGTAGTAGTTTTTTCTTCTATAATAATTTTTTTTTCCTAAAATGGGGTCTTTTTGTAATAGACTTTTTTCCAGAAAAAGTGGGGATTCCATTGTATTGTTTCATGTTAATGTGCTCAGGTCCGGTTCTGCTTAACATGACTAACTCTAATTTCCTTGCAAAAGGGGGCATTGACTTTGCGTTGGGACGACCTCATAAAGGAAACGTCATTCAATAATGATTTTGTTGTTTTGTGAAAGTTGCGTAGGCTAATTCTTATTAGTTTATAAACTCGAATGCTAGTTGTAATATTGTAAGACTACTAGTACGTAACTATCGATGAGTTATATATCTAATCTATAAATCAATCGTTGACTTGGTTAGTCGGACAACCTGTAAGCTTGAGATTGTAACGTGATTTTCTGAAATAATTAACACGTATATATAGTACTAATATGTGTAAGATGTGTTTTTATTACAATTAGCATTCGGAAACACTAAGTTAATAATCACATTTCAAACTCAAAATCTCTCGCTACTCAAATAATCGTTCTCTCTCGGCAACTCTATGGATTCTCCGGAGTTGAAGCTCGTATCACTTGCTACTCAGTTGATCTCTCTAAACAACTCTACAGATTTGGAGCTTGTATCATGTACTATTATTCAAATAATCTCTCTCGTTAGCTCAATGGATTTGGATTCGCAGCCGAAGCCCGAGACAAAGCTCATGTCACTCATAGCTCAAACAATTTCTCTCTTCAACTCCATGGATTTGGATTCCCAGCCGGAGCCGTTAAGGAAGCTCATATCACTCATTACTCAAGAAGTATCTCTCCAAAACTCTGTAGATTCGGATTCTGAGCCAAAGCCTAATTCAGAGTTTATGTCATTCTACTCTGAAACATTCAAACTCGAGCCGAGACCGGAGCTCATATCAATCATCACTCAAATATTTCTCTTCATCGATTCGGATTCGGATTCGGATTCGGAGATGGAGTCGAAGCTCATATCAGTCATTTCTCAAATAATCTCAATCGTTTCCTTTGGTGAGACGGATGGGGAGTTGGATGAGTCGCAAAAGATGTCCAAAACAAAATCAGTTATATTACTTATTAGTCAACTAATCTCTCTCGTCAGCTCTCTGGATTTGGATTCGCAGCCGGAGCCGGAGTCAGAGCTCATATCACTCATTAAGCAAGTAATCTCTGTCGGCAACTCTATATCGGATTCGGAACCGGAGTGGGAGCTCATATCACTCGTGACTCATATGACCAATATCATCAGCTCTATAGATTTGGAGCCGGAGCCACCAGCACAACTCTTGTCACTCATGGCTCATATATATTTAAATTTATACTCTATGGATTGGGACTCGGAGCTACTTACACTCCTTTCTCAAATATTCACTCTCGTCAGCTCTACGGATTTGGCTTCGGAGTCGGAGTCTGAATGGGGGCCGGATCAGCTTATTTCATTGTTCAACTCGTACAAGGAAAATTTCATGTGACGGGAAAAGTGGAGCGGAAGAGCAAAGAAAAGGGGATATGTCACCCCGGAAGCCGGGTGAAACTCTACTTAGCGAGAGGAGAAGACGCTTCTCATTTTCGTTGCAAAGATTGCAACGGCGAGGACCATGAAGAATGTGAACAGACTCCGGTTGAGGTAAAACACCCTCTTCATCCAAAACATTCTCTTCAGCTTGTCTCGCAAAAGTCGTCGAGAATTCAAACTAGAAAATGTTTTTGTTGTGATGAGGATCTCGAAAAGATATTCTACTATTGCTCGGATTGTGATTATGCTATGAATATAGCTTGTGCGGAGAAACCACCAGTCTTATATATAGACCATCCGAATTGGCATAATCATACACTTGCTCTGTTTCCTAGACAAGCTTTCTTAACTTGCAATGTCTGCGCCCTGGCCGATTCAAGCTCTCCTATCTATATGTGTCCCCCTTGTGATTTTGTGGTCCATCTAAGATGTATCAACTTACCACGTGTCATAAGGATATCTCGCCATCCCCATCGTATCTCTTTTACCCCTTTGTTCGACCAACATGATAGATCTTGTGGTGTTTGTCGCGAAAAGATCGACAACGATTATGGGGGTTATTCTTGCATCAACGACGATTGTTCGTATGGAGCACATTCGAGATGTGCCACACAGAGAAATGTGTGGGATGGCATAGAGCTTGAAGGAGTGTTAGAAGACATTGAAGAAGAAGTTGAGCCGTTTGTGACGATAAGTGATGGAATCATACAACATTTTAGTCATCAACAACATCATTTGAGACTTGATGAGAACAAAGACAGAGATTACGATGACAATATGCAGTGTGATGCATGCATCACGCCCATCTATTTCGGTAACCTCTACTCTTGTATGCAATGTAGCTTCATTCTTCACGAAGAATGTGCGAATTTATTTCGCAAAATACATCACCCGATACATCCACATATGCTCTCCCTAGCGGGAGGATATAATGATGTTAGAAAGTATGAGGATTATAAGTGTTCAGCTTGTCCTTGGTCGTGCATAGCTGGTTTTTTCTATGTGTGTGTTAAAGAAGGATGTTATTTTAAGTTACATGTGCAGTGCGCCACAATTTCTGAGCCATTGGTCCATAGAAGTCATATGGATCCTTTATTCCTAACATCTAAACCAGGAGAGCAACGAGGATGTTCGGTTTGCAAAGATTCAAGACTTGAATGTACAAATGAAACATTCAATTGCATCAAATGCGACTTTGCTTTGTGTTTTGGATGTGCTACTTTACCTCAAAATGTGAGGTATAAGCATGATAATCATATTCCCACTCTTTCTTATGGGAAGGAGACAAATACCATGACATATTGGTGTGAAGTCTGCGAGGGAAAAGTAAATCCGAAAGACCGGTTTTATATGTGTGACGAATATTGCTGTGTCACCTTACACATCAGATGTCTGATTGGGAAGGACTTATACATGAAGCCCGGTTCATTGTGTATCTACAAGGATGGAAAAAAGCTATTTGTTGTGCCCAACAATCATATGTCTCGACCATCTTGCACAGGTTGTAGGAAGCGATGTCCATACAAAACAATGTTGGTGCTTGTTCGATTAATATTCTGTTCCACATTTTGTATTCTTCATGTTTAGTCGAGAGAGTTGATCAAATAGCTGTATGGTTATTGCTCTTGTTGTAACAAATATTGTTGAATTTGTATTCGGTTGTATTATGAGCTTCCAAAAACCAGCTATGATATGGCCGGGAAAGTCATCAAGATTAAGAAAAACAAATTCGGAAGACTTGGACTACATCTCTAGTCGAGTTTTGTTGTCTTTGTTCTTTCATTGTGGCATATTTAAAACAGGGAAGTCATTGTGGTTACCAAAATGTAGGAACCCACATTCGTAATTTGCTTAGTTGTTCTTTCCACCACCAAAATAGTAAAATCAGATGTTTTCTGTCAATTAAGAGTGTTGTTTACAAGTTTCTCAAGCTTTAGATTGCGATCGCATTACAAACATTGATATATCCAAAATTATTATGAGATATATTTAAGTTTTGTGCCATTGTGACAATTATGCACATGGAAAAATAAAATGAAAGTTTGACATATTTGAAAGCTGGTTAATACTTGACCATAAACTCATGTCAGTGTTGCAATACCAGCCGAAAGGACAGTAATTAATGGAGACATGTTTCATATTTTTATTCCGGAATGGTACTTCCTCTGTTTCATCATAAGTACTGTCTTATAGTTTGTCTAACAACAAGTATGAACGTTTTTTGGGTTGCGATCTATTTATCTTAGAATACAAAAACTTGACTATTCCAAATCCAGTTGCTTATAATTCTAGAATCACACCTAACATTTCAATATCCCAAGATTCATAGGTCCAAAAGAATTAAAAATAAAAACAGAATGAATCAGATACACACATCAAATGTAGCCACTAGATATAAAATGGGGAAAGCCAATAAGGGGCAGTGAGCTGGTTTGGTGCACCCGCAGGAGGTAGAAAATAACGGGTGGTTCCGGTGGTAAGATCGTAAATACCAAAGCCATGGCCTATGTAATATATGGAGTTAGGCTTTAGAACGGGACAAGAGCTCGCCTCAACGCAGAAAGCCTCGCTCTTTGAAATGAAGATGCAAATATCTCCAGTGTCCTCTGTGTAACACATGTTTCTTCTTCCTTCCACTGTCTCCACCTCTCGAAAGACCATGAACTGCTTTGTCTTGTAGGCCCGCCTGTTGAGGGAAGAATTGGGCTTTTGGGATACAAAGCCCAATTCAAGAAAGGAAGCCCGCTCCCAAAAAAGGTTTTGAAGAGACCCAGGCCCAGAAACGATAAAGCCCAGGCAATATCACCGCCTCATAGGCCCGCCACGTCGTCATATTCAAGGGCAGAACCGGTAAAAACCGTCAGGGTATGCTCTACCCGGCAGAGTTATAAAAGAAGGACAACCAGTCCTGTCACATCCATCGAAAATCACGCTGACACGGCAAGGACACGAAGAACTCGGCTAGGACACAAAGAACTCGGCTAGGACACGAAGAACTCGGCTAGGACACGAAGAAATCGGCTAGGATACGAAGAGCGATCTCAGTCTAGGAAAGGAAAGCGACTTCAAGCTTCATTCAGCTCGGAATACGACCTACAGTTCGGCCTCATCAACGACCTGAAATCTTTAATCCGAAGTCATTCATTTCGGCTCGCCTGACACCATTTGTACTCTCGGCTCGAATTGTTTTGGGAGATTCTTTTTACTTCCCTAGAGAAACCCTATTTCGTACTTGTGTGATTCGTGCATCAACAGTTGGCGCGCCAGGTAGGGGGATAGCTCAGAGATTTCTCCAGTCAACAAAACGAGCCCGCGACAACACGATGGCAACCGATGGAAACCAGGGAACCAGCACGGGCGTCCGAGACGACAACGCATCCTCCACGGGAGGAGAGACAGTGACGCCGATCCCGCCAGGAGTACTTCCGACAAGGAAGGCTACCCATACCTCGGTAGCTATTCCCGCATCGTTACCTCAGACGCCCGAGGGGCCAGCAAAAGCAGTAAGGAACGAAACGCCCCCGGCACACCAGGAGGAAGGCGAACCGACCTCTCCCAACAGACGACGTCCAACGAACCTTGAGGAAACCCGTGCAGAACGGCACGCTGCGGCACCAACTCCCGCCGAGCAAAACCGACTGCTCCAGAACATCCTCGACCATCTAGGTCGACAGGACGCACGAACAGATGCTCGGCTCGCATCTCTGGCCGCGGCTCAAGCGTTCTCCATGGACGAGATCAACCGTCTGCAAACGAGTCGAAGTGCAAACGCGGTCTACACCCCAGAGCTCCCCGGACGTCCCCAGGCAGCTCAGCCCGTCCAAACCATGGGCAGCACCAATCCGCGAGATACGGAGATCGCCGAACTAAGACGCGCTGTCCTGGAAATGAGCTCGAAAATTCACCGTGCCACTAGCTCGGCTCCGGAACTCGACCGCGTACTCGAGGAAACTCAGTAAACCGCTTTCACCCGAAGAATCACAAGCGTTTCCGTCCACGGATCCAAGAAAATCAAATTGGAAAGGTACAACGGAAAAGGCGACCCTAAGGAATTCCTGCAATCTTTCAGCGTGGCGATTAACCGCGCTGAGCTTACTCCAGAAAACTTCGAGGCAGGGCGGTGCCAGATCTTCATCGAACATCTCACGGGCCCGGCTCTCAACTGGTTCTCCTGCCTAAAGCCAAACACAATTAGCAGCTTCAACCAATTGTCATCGTCTTTCCTAAAGCACTATTCACCTCTTATCGAGAATCAGACGTCCAACGCCGACCTGTGGTCCCTATCGCAAGGCCCCAAGGAGTCACTCCGATCGTTCATCGATCGCTTCAAGGTAGTGGTGACCAAAATCACCATCCCTGACGAGGCCGCGATAGTAGCCCTCCGCAACGCCATCTAGTACGATTCAAAATACAGGGATGATATCACTCTTCATGCTCCGAACACTCTCGAAGACGCACTACATAGAGCTTCGCGATATATCGAGCTCGAAGAGGAGCGGCTCGTCCTAGCCAAAAAGCATAACCCGCCCAAAACATCTGTAACTAAGGAGACTGCTTCAGCCATACCTAACGCAGCAAACAACGCTGAGCCAAAACAACATTCCAAAGGTAACATCGGCCAGGCACGACGACCCACGACCTTCGTCGTTAATAGCGAGGCACCATCACCAAGGCCGTGGAACAAATACGTAAGAGACACCGATTCCCCGGCACCGACGTCAATATTCTGTGAATACCATAAAAGTAAAGCACACGCCGCTGAAGATTGCCGGTATCTGCAAAGTTTACTGATGGCAAGATATAAGAACGGAAGCATCACGATCGAGTGTGACCGCGCCCAAGGAGGTAAGAATCAAAAACGTAACGAGAGCACGGCCCGTCAATACCTACAAGACCATGCGAAAACCGAGGAAGTCGAGGATGCGAATGATCCCGCCAAAAGACCTCGGAATGGGAAGGCGCCAGCCGAAGCTCCAGTGGTCGTCAGACAGGTCCGAATGATAATGGGCGGACTGCAAAACTGCAACGATTCTCTTTCGGTCAATCAAACAATATCGTAAAAAAGCTGAAATGAAGGAAGTATGGCCATCCACGAGCGCACCACCAACTACGCCCGTCGACGAACCCATATCGTTTACCCAATCCGACCTGGAGGGCATCGATACACTGCATAACGATCCTCTCGTCGTTAAACTCATTATCGGCGATAGCCGAGTAACTAGGGTGCTCATCGATACTGGAAGCTCAGTCGACCTCATCTTCAAGGACGTTTTGGCTATAATGAACGTCATCGATCGGCAAATAAAACCCGTATCGCGCCCGTTGGCCGGATTCGATGGTTACTTCATAATGACAATCGGAACGATCAAATTGCCCGTATTCGTCGGAGGAACGATCTCGTGGGTCAAGTTCGTCGTAATTGACAAGCCCGCAGTTTACAACGTTATTTTGGGAACACCCTGGATGCATCAAATGCAGGCGATCCCGTCCATATACCACCAGTGCATCAAGTTCCCAACGCACAACGGAGTGTTCACCTTGAGAGGGAATCAACAGGTCGCAAGAACATGTTTTCTCATCGAACACAAGAACCGCGTCGCTAAGAAGTTATAGCAATTAACGATGCCAGCATTGTCGACCGTCCCGACCCTAAAAAAGTCCCTTGAAGAGCCTCAACTGAGCAGGACAGAACAAGTGAATATTGACGAGACGGATAAGACAAGATCCGTCGCAATCGGTGCCGAGATAGTACCATCGGTTAAAGAACCACTCATCGCATTTCTAAAACAGAATTCTAAAACGTTCGCCTGGAGCGTAGACGACATGATAGGCATCGACCCTATGATCGTTACGCACGAGCTTAACGTCGACTCAACCTATAAACCGGTAAAGCAGAAAAGGCGAAAATTGGGACCGGAGCGAGCCAAGGCCGTAAATGACGAAGTCGACAAGCTGTTGAAGGCTGGCTCGATAACTGTGGTAAAATATCCGGAATGGCTAGCGAACCCGGTCGTTGTAAAGAAGAAGAACGACAAATGGCGTGTTTGCGTAGACTTTACCGACCTCAATAAGGCGTGCCCAAAAGATAGCTACCCGCTCCCTCACATCGACAGGATAGTCGAAGCGACCACCGGGAACAAACTCCTGTCCTTCATGGATGCATTCTCGGGATACAATCAAATCCTCATGCACAGAGATGATAGGGAAAAGACCTCGTTCATCACAGACCGAGGAACCTATTGCTACAAGGTGATGCCATTCGGCCTCAAAAACGCCGGTGCGACGTACCAACGTTTGGTAAATAAGATGTTCGCTGATCAGCTCGGACGAACTATCGAAGTTTACATAGACGACGTGCTTGTAAAATCTCTAGTAGGAGCCGACCATGTCCGACACCTAAGCCAATGCTTCGACGTGCTGAACGAATACAATATGAAATTAAACCCCGCGAAATGCACGTTCGGCGTAACATCCGGCGAGTTCCTGGGGTACATGGTCACGCAAAGGGGGATCGAGGCTAACCCAAAGCAAATTCGTGCAATCCTCGATCTGCCTTCTCCAAAGAACGCACGCGAGGTACAACGACTAACAGGATGGATCGCCGCTCTCAACCGCTTCATTGCCAGATCGACGGACAAGTGCTTACCCTTCTATAACCTCTTAAAAAGGAAGGACAAGTTTGCATGGGATGAGGCGAGCGAAAATGCTTTTAACGAACTCAAACAATACCTCACGACGCACCCGGTTCTCGCTAAGCCAGAAAACGGTGAAACGCTATTTCTATACATCGCGGTATCAAGCTCGGCCGTGAGCGGTGTGCTTGTTAAAAATGACTGAGGCGACCAGAAGCCGATCTTTTATGTCAGCAAGTCCCTCATCGAATCCGAGACACGATATCCCACAATGGAAAAAGCTGCGCTAGCGGTCGTAACATCGGCCAGTAAATTACGTCCCTAATTTCAATCCCACACAATCGTCGTTCTCACAGACCAACCACTAAGAACCGCCCTACACAGTCCGAGCCAGTCCGGGAGAATGGCTAAATGGGCAATCGAGCTCAGCGAATACGATATGGACTTCAGGACCTGACCAGCAATGAAATCGCAAGTGTTAGCCGACTTCCTTATTGAACTACCGCTCATTCCGAAAAACCTAAGCGGCGACCCCGAGCCAGGTGACCCTCAGAACGGCGTCTGGACGCTGTACGCCGACGGGTCCTCGTCATCGCATGGCTCTGGCATCGGCATACGACTAGTCTCACCAACCGGGGAAATAATCGAGCAATCGTTTCATCTGCGCTTCACGGCAACAAATAATGTCTCCGAATACGAAGCACTCATTGCCGGTCTACGTCTCGCTCTAAGAATGAAGATCAAACGAGTCCAAGCATACGTGGACTTACAGCTCGTCGCAAATCAATGTAGCGGTGAATACGAAGCCAAAAACGACACTATGGAGGCGTACCTCAAGGTCGTCAAGAAGTTATCCTCACAGTTTACACATTTCGAAGTAACCAAAATCCCGCGAGGAGATAACGCGCCGGCTGACGCTCTCGCCGCATTAGCATCCACGTCGGACCCCGACCTTCGATGTATTATCCCGGTGGAAAGCATAGACCGACCAAGCATCGAAGCAATCGATATTGTCAATTGCGTCAGAACAAATCACGATCCAGACGCAGCTGACCCAACCAACTGGCGGGTCGAAATACGCGATTTCCTCACCGACGGAACGGTCCCAACGGATAAATGGGCAGCACGTCGATTACGCATCAACGCCGCAAAGTACACGACCTTGGAAAATTGCCTCCTAAAGCTCAGCGCAACCGGAGCATGGCTGAACTGCCTACACGGCGAGGATATCGCAGAAATAATGAAGGAAACACACATGGGGGCCGGCGGCAACCACTCCGGCGGACGAGCTCTCGCATTACAAATCAAAAAGCTAGGTTTCTATTGGCCGACCATGATATCGGACTGTAAGGACTTCGCGGCTAAGTGCGACCAATGTCAAAGACACGCGCCCTCGATTCATCAACCAACCGAACTACTCAAGGTCGGTGCGGCACCATATCCGTTCATGAGGTGGGCCATGGATATCGTCGGCCCGCTACCGGCCTCCAGACAAAAACGGTTCATTCTAGTCATGACGGATTACTTTACTAAATGGGTGGAAGCCGAACTAGACGGAGTACTTTGGGCGTACCGAACTACACCCCGCAGCGCCACCACGCAAACACCATTCGCGCTAGCTTACGGCATGGAAGCAATGGCTCCAGCCGAGGTCAGATACTCAAGTCTTCGGCGTTCTATGATGGCAGTCCATCCCGACCTCAACGACCAGATGATGCTTGACAGACTCGACGAACTTGAGGAAATGCGCAACATCGCACTATGCCGAGTTCAAAACTACCAGCTTGCTGCCGCTCGATACTACAACAAGAAAGTACACAACCGCCACTTCGACGTCGGCGACCTTGTACTCAGGAAAGTCTTCGAAAATACAGCTGAACTCAGCGCCGGCAAACTAGGAGCAAACTGGGAAGGGCCGTACCAAGTCTCGAAGATAGTTCGCCCCGGAGACTACGAACTCCTCACCATGAGCGGCACCGAAGTCCCACGAACTTGGAACTCCATGCACCTCAAGCGATACTACTACTGACGACCTCGCTCTCCTTATATATATATATATATAAAAAAAAAAAAAAAAAAAAAAAAAAAAAAAAAAAAAAAGGTAGCTCGGCCTTACCGATGCCTCTCTATGTAATGTGAACTACGAACGGCTTGATCCCTCCGATCAGGGGGTACGTAGGCAGCCCTGCTTGCAGGGCACAGCTATGATATTAATAAAATTTTGTATTTCCATCTAATTTCGAAATACAACCGAACCGAAATATACATCGATACCCTGGCCATGCAATTCGATCGAACACGTTCGAACGAGAACGCACACCCTTACTTAGGTCTGCCAAAACAAGTAAAAAAGTCTTGGAAAAAACCTACACTTAAGGGTCTGAAAGCCGAGCTCCGTACTCGCAAAGCCTCGATAAACTGGGTAACATAAGCCGGGGACGAACCCGCACTCCCAAAGATTTGTCAGGCCAATACAGGGTAAGCCGATCACCACGCGTCGCACCTCACGATGTCTCGAGCCCATCTCGAACACTCCGAGCAAACTCGGAAAAGCCGAAGTAGGTAAAACTTCACACAAGACAAGTCCCGCACTTGCATTATATCGACAGAATAAACAGATAGGCTGAGGACGGACTCACAAGTTCCCAACCGGTCAAGCCTACCAACAACCGAAGTAATCTAGGCCTCGCATCAGCTTGGTGAACTCGCACCAAGCCGATCACGACCAGGTTTACACAGAAACCGGCTGCGTCCCGTCCTACACAGGAGCCGACCCCTGAAGAACACATGCTAAAATGAAAGAAGGAAAAGAAGAAATAACTGGCGAAAACCGCATAAAATAAGCCGACCTAGCGGCAATCATGTTCAAACAAGCCGACCCAGCGGCAATAAAGCTAAAAACCGAGTTAACGGCACGAGTTCAAAAGCCGACAAAGCGGTAACTAGATAAGAAAAAGCCGTCAAACGCGGCAAAACGACAACAACTTTTAAAAAAATGACCTCGCGGTCAGCCTTCGATATCAATGTCCTCCCCGTCATGGACAACCTGAGCTAATGGAGTAGCCACCCGTGGAGCCTCCTGGCCGTCGCCACTCCGCTCAGCGCCTGTGGCCTCGGTCTCAAGACCACCCCCATCCTGAAGTTCGGCCCCGGTCTCACGAGCTTCAACTACGACCTCCTGCTGAGTATCCTGATCAACGGCATCTTCTTCGACCTCGTCATCTCCGACGAAGTCCTTACCACTGGCAGCCGAGGCGGCATACTGAAGGTTCTCAGTAACCTCGTTTCGATCCGCAAAGAGGGTATAGGCGTCAAAATCGCCATCCTGAAGTTCAGTCACGTCGAAGGCCGCAAGATCAGCTCTGTACTGCGCCACGTCGGCCTCAACCCTGGAAAGCGTTTCCTCTGACTTAATGACGACCTCGCCGTCTTCCACTTGAGCTTTCAGAAAACCGAGATTCCCGACTGCCTGGTTGTAAAGTAGAAGAGTGGGCTGCGCGGCACGGGTATCCTCAAGATGAGCCTGTAGACGGGTGAGACGAGCCTGAAACAGCCGGGCCATCTTCGCAAGAGCTTTACCTCTACACTACTCGCCGTACTCAGCACGACGTTCTCGCAGTCTGGCTTTTTCGGAACGGAGGATCACAGCGAGCTCGTCATACCGAGCCTTCTCTGCCTCCACTTCAGCGCTCAAACGGTCCCTCTCCGCAATCAGCCCATTCCGGTGATGATCGAGAAGGTTGACCTTCTCCTTAAGCTTCACCGCCTCGTCCTTAACAACACCCAACTCTCGTGAGACCTGATCTACCCGCTCCTTCTCCGCAGCAATGGCAGCCTGATAATCACTCGAATTTGGGTTCTCGGTCGAAAGCCGACGAACTCGGCGCTCGTAGAGATAAACCATGCGGTTCACCGCGAAAGTCGCCTGAAAAAATATATATATAAACAATCGACCGAGGAAGGGTAACAAAAATATATATATACATATATATATATATAATAATAGTAATAACCTCGCATGATTTCCTGGCCGCCTCGGTATACGCATCCCGCTCCCGAAGATCCTCAATTAGAGGGAACGAGCCGGGGCCGTGACCCATCTCGCAGAATAAAGCCGCACAGGCGTCCGCATTAGATGTAAAGGGAACATCCCTATCAACATAGCGATACGACCACCGGTGGTCGGCGACCCGGGGCCTCTTCTGGGCAATCGGACGAGCTCCTGTATCAGCCGGCCTCTTCCTGCTCAGAGGCTCGACTGAGCCACTCCGGGCTCCTACGGCTCGGAGATCATCACCTGGGGGAAGGATCGCAACTCGGTCGCCCCCACCAGCCTGCTGAGTTAAACGAGCTGCGAGCATCTCGTTCTTCTTTACCTTCTCTGAGTTAGGGCTCAACGGCCGAGAACTTCCGGCCTGGAAGGCTTGACGCCCTCCCTGATCTAAGAGACTCTTCTTCAGGGCCTCCCTCATTTGTCGCTCCTCTGAACGAGATGGCTTTGCCGCGGGAGTCTCCGTGGCCGGCCTCTTCTCCCTGTAAAGACTGGCGTAATCCGGGACCACACTCAGGTCGAACTTACCCATCGCTTTACGACCTAAAATCAGAAAAAATATGAGCCAAGGGAACAAAAACCCGCAGAGGCGAACGACATATGCGTTACCTGGTTTTTGAAGAGCAGAAACTTTGGAACTTTGACGAATAGATCCTCGACGAGAAGAACCTTGGCGACCACGTAAAGGATTCCGAGAGGGGCGGCGAGCAACTTTGTTAGTGGATGGCCAGATATACGTACCCTCAGCGCGAATCTTTTCGAGATCCTTCTTGAGCTGCTCGAGAAATGGATCAAATATCGTCGGGAAACGAGCTGCATAAAAAAAAAAAAAAAGAGAAGACATAAGAAAATCGAAAGCAACAAAAGAAGAAGTGTGAGGGCGGAAGACGAGCTCAAGCTACCGGGTGAAATTTTCCACCCTGTATAGATCGGAATCCTAACGTCCTCAACAGATTCTGCAGAAATCCTAACAAAGAAATATCCCGCCGACCAGTCGTTAGTTTTGCTCTTGGCCTCGTCGACAAGCTTAGGAGTCGTGGACGACTGAACGTAGTGTAAGCCCGGCTTTTTCTTGCTGAGGCTCTTAATCTTGGTCACCTCCTCGTAATGAGATGAACGGACCACCACGCCGCACCTATTCGCCAGCCGAACCAGGCCTATCGCATTCCGGATGGCAGCACCAGAGAGCTGAGAAAGAGCCATCTCCCGCCTCGCTACATACTCAAGCAGGAAGCTCGGAATCGGAAATGTAAGATCGCACTCCGTAAAGAAACTCTCATAGACACAAAGGAAGCCGTCTGGAGCGGACCAAGGTCGCTCAGATAGGGTTGGGACGCGAACTTCTATCGAAGATGGAGCGTCACAGTAGTGAAGAGTATACGCAAGGGTCTCGACGCTTGTCTGGCTCGGCCCCAAAAAATCGACATGGTAGGGGGTCGGCCTCGGAACGCCGAAGGGCATGTCGGCATACCCAATCTCCACTTCCGGTTCGTCAAATTTAATATCACCGATGTCCTCGTCAATCAAACGAGGAACAAAGGGGACAATCGAGGTCGCCCCAACGAGATCACGCTGAGAAGATGATTCACGACGCTTCAGTTCGGCTGTAGATGCCCATGAACCGGCGTCGGACAACCTAGATGAATTCCTCCTACGGGGGAAAGAATCAGATTCCAGGTCGTCATCGAAAGAATTCGCTCGAAATCGATCAACATTTGGTGTACGATCCGAAGAATCCGACGATTTACGAGAGCAGAGATGATTGGAAACCGACCCGCGAGAGCTAGCATCGGACGACATCGTAAAAAAAAAGAGAGAAGGGATGAGAGAAATCGAAATAGAGAGGAGAGGATTATACCTTAGCAGAGGAGGAAGAATGAGAAATGAACGAGAAGGGTAGAGGTATTTATAGAAGCTGAATGACGAAAAGAAGTAATCATTACACCTACGAAGTTAGGTGATAATTACGACCTAAAACGGCTCCACACGCGAGAGACGCTTCGATCTCCGAACATTGGGAGCAGTATCAGCCGAATCAATCCTCGAGTCCCTCGCACGCGCGCGCGTCGTTGAAACTCGGAAATCCAAAACAGTGCGAAGAGGGGCGACCTCACACGCGCATCGGGAACAAGGAAAGCAATCATGACCCTCGCAAGAAACGATGAGTCATGATTGGGGGGCAACTGTTGAGGGAAGAATTGGGCTTTTGGGATACAAAGCCCAATTCAAGAAAGGAAGCCCGCTCCCAAAAAAGGTTTTGAAGAGACCCAGGCCCAGAAACGATAAAGCCCAGGCAATATCACCGCCTCATAGGCCCGCCACGTCGTCATATTCAAGGGCAGAACCGGTAAAAACCGTCAGGGTATGTCCTACCCGACAGGGTTATAAAAGAAGGACAACCAGTCCTGTCACATCCATCGAAAATCACGCTGACACGGCAAGGACACAAAGAACTCGGCTAGGACACGAAGAACTCGGCTAGGACACGAAGAACTCGGCTAGGACACGAAGAACTCGGCTAGGATACGAAGAGCGATCTCAGTCTAGAAAAGGAAAGCGACCTCAAGCTTCATTCAGCTCGGAATACGACCTACAGTTCGGCCTCATCAACGACCTGAAATCTTTAATCCGAAGTCATTCATTTCGGCTCGCCTGACGCCATTTGTACTCTCGGCTCGAATTGTTTTGGGAGATTCTTTTTACTTCCCTAGAGAAACCCTATTTCGTACTTGTGTGATTCGTGCATCAACACCGCCCATTCTTGAAATTTCCTTCTCCGTACCTTGCACCCAAGAAAGAAAAGCCAAAGATGCCTCAACCATTGTAACAATTCAATGTAAATGCATACTACTAGAGTATAGATATATATACACCATTTGACATGAAAATGTTCACCAGTGGAGACTGACTCCACAAGATATTCAGTCCTACAACACGAATACAACAGCTCCAACTCGGATTGAGGCAACTCCGGAAGGTCGCGAAACTACAACTCATGGAAGTTAGGATTCTTGACTTGTTTAAAGTTGAGATCATATGAGAACAAGTGGTTGCCTCCAGGAGCAGGCAAGTAGAACCTTTGATCTCTTTTTGAAAATATCAGATTCGAGTTTTCCGAGAAATCCGAAGGAGTTAAGATATTAGTCCACCGCAACTCACGATGAGGACTACATAAACTAAGCTGTCTACCCAAGAACTTGATAGCAACAACCCAATCTTGATCTTCTTGATCAGGAGGAGAAGAGGACATTGCCACATTCCAAAAAAACTTTGTTTTGGCAAGACTTAAGAGCAGTAAGCGGAGGCAGAGGAATCATTTTCGGGCTTGACTTAGAAGCCAAGGGGTTAAAAACGTCACTGATACACACAGAACGATCATGCGGGTCACAGAAAATTACTCTCTCTCTGCTATCTTCGTTCTTGCCATATAGTAGTAGTTAGTCGTTTACTAACAAGAAGAAATAATAATAAAAGCTTTTCTTTTCTTTTCTTTTCTATTCCATTATCTCTTTTTTTCCCCTTCTATAAAATATTTGTTACCCTATAAGAACAATTTTCACTAAACCATGGAGCCTACTTTTAAAGTAATTTTTGTTAGCTTTTATGGTCTAGAACAAGTGTATGATTTGATGACCACAAATCAAACTAAAATATCAAATCTCATATACACTCCTCATTTTTCTTAGCATTTCTGTTTATACTTTAATTATCTATAAGCAAAACACACGTATTTTAGGTTTTAGACACCCTAAAATGTTGAATACTAGTAGTAGTTTGTTGATGTAAATTAATTAAAAATTGATAAAAATTTAACTTATTAAATTTAAACAACCTAAAGGTGAAGTAAGTTTAATAAAATTTAACTAGGATATAATCTTAAAGGTGTAGTAAGTTTAATAAAAAAAAGTTTTAAGCGATTAAGTGATTGATACGAAGTAAAAATCTTGTTTTTTCCGTGAATATTTTCATTGAAATGCACAACTGCCGATAGGTTAAAAAAAATGAAGGTGAAAAAAAAGAAGCTATTGTTACTATCAAGAAATCCACAAAAACGATGCCGTTTCTCAATCTTCACTTATGATCTCCGATATGCTTTCTAAGTGCGGCCTCCAAACGCCGACGCGTCCTTTCCTCCGATCTTTTTGCGTCGCCACTTTCTCCGATAGTATCTCCGTCAAGTATCTATCAGATGAGATCAATAAATCGTTCTCGTAGTTTTTATCTTTAACGTCATTATTTTCGCCGTTACATTTCTCATCACCGTCACGATGTTGCCGGCGATTCTGTGACCGTTTCTTGACGGCGGCGTTTATTGCGTTACTTTTTTCCCGGCGGATCTTTCCTCCGCCGGCGCATTTATCAGATTTATTTGCAGGCATGAGGAAATAAATCTTGCCACGTTGGAGCTCAGCTTCGGGAGGGACGATGACGATCTTTGTGGCTGAGATGACGTCACGCTCGTCGTGATCTGACGGTGGAGAAGATGGTTTCTTGAGTACGTGCTTTGGGTGAGCCTTCATGATTTCTCTGGCGGTGATCGTGCCACTGATCTCCTCCACGTGTCCGTTTGAGTGAACGATTCTGATTACGTCAAGAGCTCCACACGGTAGAATGCAAGCGATGCAACACCTGATTGTCTCTTTCATTCTCTTTGTTGTTGTTTTTTTTATTAGTGAAGAAAAGCAAATAATTTAAAGACTTTGGTTCTTGTAAAAATTCATGAGAGAAGATTGAAGATGAAAATGAGAGAGAGAGAGACGTAAGGTAGTGATCTTGAAGAGAGAAGCTTGAACAAGAACTAAATTTAATTTGTAATTCTTTTCTCTTTTGAGGAATTTAGACCATGTGTGTTTATTAGTATTTATTTATAGTCTTGTCTTTTGGTGCGTTTATTATTTTCGTTTTTGATGTCGTCTTGTAAACTTTGATTATTGTATAGTGTATATTTTGTGTGAGTGTGTTTTATGGTTTCTGTTAGTTGCTCTTTTTCTGCTCTTTTTCAGCGGCTGAATTTAGGAATAGATGTTAAATTTTTTTTATATTATTTTGGTATTGCTCGATTTTGAAATATTCCATGAGCTACTTTTACCTAAAGCTTATGGAAAGATTTTACAATTTTCATGATCTGATTTGTTCGTTTTGAACAAAATTAAGATGTTTTTATTCGGTTTTAATCTTAACGACAACAAAACGAATAAAAAATCTTATTCCATAAAATTTTCACTTACTTTACATACATTGTACCAACAACAGTATAGGGAACTACAAATTGTGAGATGATAACTAAGTGGGCTTGTCCTTTTGATGGTGATAGGAGACGATATGTATGTCTTAAAGTCTAAAACAATATTACCAAAAATAAAATTTAAAAGTTTGGTATATATTCCTTTGAACATAAACCACACGAAGATGTAGAATCATTTGAACAATACCTTAATATAAACAAACAAATGGAGTAGTAAGGCGAAAAAAAAGATATCAACTAACAAATATAAATATTTCGAATTTTTTGTATACAAATTGGTGGGGAGAGGGAACAAAAGAGGGGTTGAGATAGATGGAATGAATAATTGCACCCAACGATGTAATGCAAAATGTACTTTACCTTTTGGATCCATCGTCTATTAGCATTTTGAGGGGACCCCTCTTCTTCGCTATAAAGCTTTCAATTATTTTTTTCTTCTTCTTGTTCTTTTTTTCTTCCTTATCTTATAATCAATTTCAATTTCTTATAATGGACATTGTTGTTCATCTAGGCTGGGTGCTTATGGGTAGACACATGTTGTAGCATCATTGGGTGTCCATCATGTCATCACCACACATTACACATCACTTTCCATAATTCACTTAGGTTACAAATGGTTGTTTTAAATTGAATGGGTTGAATATATTGGGTTGAAAATCATTCAGTCTATTCATCTACAAAATTGTAGTTGAATAAGCTGAACATTTTTGCTGTAGAATTTGTTCAATTTTTGAGGTTTTTAAGTTGAATGAGTTGAATCCTTTTTTCAACTTTTTCATCTCAAATGGTGAAAAATTAGTTGAATGAATATTCAACTCTTTCAACTTGGTATTTTGTATCAACCATTTGCAGCCTTAGTTAAGCCTAGAGATTAAAAACATTATTTTAAAACATTAGTCAGTCCAAATAGATTTAGTCATTTAAAAGAAACTTGATGAAATACTTTGATTGCAATATTATTATGTAAATTTGTAATAAACAATCGAGAGCTAAAATTATTCAATTAAGATTTATTTTCTATCATAGAAGAATTTCATAAATTAGAAAAGAAAAGTAATAACTAGTACGGTTCTTCCAAACCCACATAACAACTATTAGAACCAACTTATCATACTTGCAATTTGTGTTTTTTCCTATTGTCTTTTTTGATGTTAGCTTTTATTATTCGTTTTGTTGTCGTTAAGTGACATCAAAAGTCAATCCAATAAGAAATAGTCGAACTTTATTTTGGATCCTTTTCACTGAATCATGATATGCACGCATCTTGTTGGATTTCAGTAAATGTTAATCTTTTTCTTATTCATTAATACTTTTCGAAAGTTTGTATATCACAAAAAAATCAATACATTTACTGGTCGTATGATCGTCTTTATATCTAATTTCGAACTTTCATATACAAAGAAAATTAACTACAAACCTTTACAAATTATGGCTTATTTCCATAAAACTTCTTTGATTTAAACTAGAGAACATATATATATAATTGTATGATTTATAATAAATAAGAAAGAAAAGAGGATAATAAGAGAAGTGTGTTTTCAATATATCCGGAAGCAAGATCATGTGGGTTTGCTTTCCTTTTGAAAGTGATTGACTCATGGACCCCTCTCTCACTCTTTTTTTTTTCTTTCACATTTTGGTGTTTGGTGAACTTCTTTTCACTTCCTTAATTTTGAGCTAATAGAGCGTGTAAAAGGTGATTTAAAAAGAAAAAAAGCATTGGATTAAGTTAGATTTAGCAATTTTGCCAACACCATTTAGACAAGACTTGAACTATTTGAGTTCAATTAAACTAAAAAAAATCTTTTTGAAAAACAAAATTTAGTAATTGGAAATATAAACAAATTAAAAGTGACATGCAATATTTGATTGATTTGTTCTGTTTGTTAATTTTGCATCAGTTAATACAAATGATGTTAGTATTTGTAACGGTTCTAACAATTATGCTCAATAAATGTATCATTCGTTTATAATTGATGTTAGAATTGCATCACTTGTAAACTATTGATGCAAAAATTAGTTATTTTTTTTATTAGTAAATTTTATCAATTAAAAGATTATTAATTATATATGATATCATGTAAATACGTTAACAAAGTCTTACATACTATTTATTATTTAATTAAAATAGATATGTTAAATAATTACTTGGTGTCGATGAGATTGTTTATTCATCTAACCCCTTTATAAACTTAATATAATGATGAGTTTATTTTACAAAGAAAAAATTACTTGGTGTTGTATCAATTATTTATTTGTAATTTTTGTTAGCATGTAAACTTTCTATCATTTGAATAATTGATGTCAATTTTTATTTTATATATTTTTCTTTAAGTGATGCAAATTAAGATAAATTAGTATCAATTTAACTTAATTGATGCCAACTAATAAATTAAAACATTACTTATTCTAATTGATGTTAAATTAAATATATTGCATCAGTTATAAATAAGTGACTCAAATTATCCCATGGTTCGTTCTTTTGTTTTTATAATCTTCTTTGAGCTGGTTCTAGTTAAGAAGTGTGTCATCAGGTCTCAAAGCCTGCTAGTGCTCGGTCTAAGCCGACGAGTTCATTCCCGTTAGCACAGTCTGCTCGATCTCACCTTAGGAGGGCTCTTGCTTAGTGAGTTGTAGGGAAGTTTTGCGGTGGAGACCCGCTCACCCGCACCTTCGTTGTTCCCCAAGCCATTGTTCTCCATGGTGAGTTGGCTGTGTTGCCTATGTCTTTCATCATTTTTGTTTTCGAGAGTAAGGCTTCTAGATTGTGCATGATTTCTCTAATTTTCTTTGTGGTACTAACATTGGGGAATGATCTTGGTAAAGTGAAATAGCGTTTCTTGTTTAGTGTAGTTCTCTTCAGTCCTTGATCTGTACTGAGTTGGAATTACTGTGATTAGATGATTTTGAAGGCCGTCTCTGATCGAAAACATCTTTAGTTTCTAGGAGTGGTAGCATTGATTTCACATGCTACAAGTGAAAGAGCTTGCAATCACCAAAGACATCGTAACAAAGATCTTCAAGCCTTTCATCTCTTGGGGGATAATTCACGGTTTTATCGATGTATTGAAATTTGATTTGTATTCGCTTTCATGATTTCCTCTTGGCATGGTTCCAATATTAGGTTAAAGCAAATTGTTAATCACTTTATAAAATGTATAACATTTTTTTTTTTTGTCAACAACTTTTAATTAAAAAATTCAACAGAGTCATTCCTAAAGAATGTTGTTTACATAAGTGATATGATGTGGTTCGGTACGAATTTTTCGTGCCAACTTATCCGCTTTTACATTTGCACTTCGAGAAATAAGAGATAATGAGAAACTTGAAAATTCTTCCTTGTCGCTCTTAAAATCTTCCAAATACACTGAAAAGGCCGGCCATTCGGTTGGCAAAGACACCATATTCACCAGGTCTGAACAGTCTGTATAAAAAGCTACATCTTGATTGTCGGCTCCAATCATATACTTCATCGCCCAGAGAAAAGCTTCCACTTCTGTATGTAATGGAGAAAGACTTCTTCGGATGTTGGCTGCTCCCATGGTTGGCGTCTCTTCATTTGATGATATGCAGAAACACCCTGTTCCTGAAAATTTATCCAGAAGAAGAAGAAGCAATATTTTTAATAAGATTAGGTTCGATTATGTATGTGTGTTTTTATTTAAGACTCTCTATCTGGATTATGTATGGTTTGGGATTTGATTATGTAATGTTATATGTATGGTTTGTGATTGATTATGTATTTGCTTTTGGTATTAAACATTTGGTATTTCGGCTCCAACTGGTAACACGTCTTATTAAGGTTGAATTGTAGTCGATGTTATAATTTGATGTAATTTGCAGTCAAAACTATGTGGTATAAACTGTAGAATGATGTAGTAATTTACTGTAGAAATATGAGTTATCTGTCTGATCAATACAAGTGACTCGTAACTCTTGTGCTTTAAAAGTTGCAGTATATGTTATTAAAACTAATTAAATTAAATATCAATAATATTAATAATATTTCTTACAAATTAAATAATAAAATAAAATAATACTAAAAAATAGTTAATTTGAAAAATATTTATGTTACATAATAGTTATAAAACTAATGACTTACATTTCATAACATATTTAAAATTTCATCAATATTAAATATAATCCTATAAAAAGTTTTTGATAATTAAATAAAAAAAAAACATAAAATAAAAAATTGAAAGATATTAAGAAAATCAAGAAATTTAACTACCTATTTTTTGTGAAATTTTATTGAATAAAGTTAAGATAATAATAACAACTTTTCTCAGTATTCAAATTAATTTAAGACATTTTCTTCTAATTTAAAACTAATTTTCGTTTTTTTAAAAAATAAAAAATTATAACTCAACTTACCACATCCTAACTCATGAGAATTTTCATGTTTTTGAGTTAAGTTTTGATTTAGGAATTTTACAAAGGAGATAACTCAAAAATGTAAGTCATTCATAACTCAACAAACTTCAACCTCTAATGCAAATTTTTAAAAACAAATCATGATTGGTAACATTTTTTAGTTATCTTCCTACTTCAATGATACCACATATTAACTCATGTCACCAATCACACCCTTCATAAAAACCGGGTTTATTATAATTAGACCAGAGAAAACGAGATACATCTCCTATATATTAATAGAGAAACATTTAAAAAAAAAACCTTACCATCATGTGTTATTAACAAGATT